GCGGGCGACCACTTGACATTATGTAGAATTTGACACACTTGTGCACACACCATGAACTATGGCAAAAATTTTATATAAACAGAACGATGATGCAGATTAGTCATACTAAATACAAAGCAACGTACAAATTGAATTTAATTGGTGACTAGACTAAAAACCTTGTACATTTTTAAAAACCTTGTACATTTTATTCACCATCAAGTGGGTCTTAGCAACGGTCTACTAGTTTCGAACGCATAGTCCTTCATTAGAGCTGCAAAATATTTTCTCTGCACATTTTTAGTAATGCAACTGCAACAAGGGCGTCGTAAATTCACTTTTACAACAAAAATATTCTCTCATCAATATTATATTCAAATTCTGGTCTTAATACACCGGGCTAAGAACAATAATGCGACGATGCAATTGACTTTATAGTAATTCGATTCCTAGATCAACGGAGCGTGGGAAGTTGTTTTTACAGTTAATTAAGCCAGATGACAGTTATTATAATAGAAGAAACAATATATCAAAACGGTAAGACGTTACGACGGATTAGTGGATAATTCTAGTCTATATTAAATATCTGATGGAGCTAGTTCAGAGCTCAATATAATTGGCGCCTGGTGGATATATCAAATCTTTATACTAGCCAATTATGTAGAGGATCCGATGTTAAAAAAGAAGCTAAAAAACAAAAATCCCATCAACATAACACGTAGGAAGGCGTTAATATTTATTATCGCGAATTTAAAGAAAGATTCATTGGATGGAGAGGAATTCAGACGATTTGTGTTAAAACGTGGGAAGTTTAACAAAACATTTGGTAATAACATATATTTACGTTCGGACCTCCTCGCGCTCGGGTGGAATTGAAGGTTTATTGTTGCAAATATTTTGTTTTATTATTATGGAGAGGCCATCAGACTTTGTCATTGACAGTTTTAGGGATGGGAAGACGATATTTTTGTTCACAGCTAGCTAGCTGAATTTGGCAGAAAATTAACCAACCAGATTCTATTGGAGTAGACGTTGGACCGATATACACTATAAAACAAAGTTGCTTCATATGTGAACGAATATTGTTAGTACTTGGCTTCATAAAAAGTAATAAGTTCGGATGATGAAAAGCCACAAGATATTTAATTATATTTTAGAACAACTTACGTTACGTTTTGAATGAAAATCTTGAGTTATTAAATGAAACATTCAATCAGTGAATGTCGAATAAAACTCTTGAGAACTGATCTCGTTTAAACGTTTTGATATAAACAGGTATGACATTAAATACACGTACATTGAAATACCAATCACATATTAACAATTTGTTAAATGGATCGCGTTAAAAATTTTAAGTAACCATAAAAAATTAAAAACACTTCAAATTTAAACCTTAATACCTACGAAATAAGATCCGTGAACGATATTAAAAGTGTACAGAAAAGCAGCTGGGTGGACGGTGTCAATGACCCGTTTAAGACGTAATTGAACATTAGCATGTCAAAAGGAGGCCGAAAAGTTCACCGCGTTAAATGTTCCAAGCTGAGATGAATCATGAGATGCTGAATTAATTAAACTATTGACAAATAGGTATATTTCCCAAAAGAGGGTTGATGTCAGGCCGATGGCCGGTCGTAAAAACAATTAGCCAAAACTATTCACAACATGTAAGGCAGACCATGGCTATAGCCGGGAAATTGCCAGGTAGAAGAAGATTGACAATTACGTATATTGAATATTAATTGTTATACAGGGTGACTGGTGAATTACTATCAATATTTAAGGAGAATACTCGGTACATGATTCTCATTCGAATTATGTAAAAAAAATAGGTACTTAATTTTTGACCAAATTTCCGTATAAATAAATAAAGTGTGGACACGTTCCAAGTTTGGACTTGTGCGGCGGTGTGCTGATACAACACCACGCCGCCGCACGCGTGTGTTTGTGTGTATGTGTATACCTAATCTGTAGGGTGTTCACACGATGCGTAATTAGTTACATAACTTTTCTTAGAAGTTTATTAATATTTATGTTATATTAATTTTTATTTTGTCATATATGATCGTCAAATATCACGTCCTCAAGTATCGATAGTAATTCACCAGTCACCCTGTATATGTCTGTATGTGAACCGGGTTATGAAATGAATCTGGAGTAATGGAACAAATTACAAGTTATTCACCACTCGTTACATTAAGTGTCTTTAACATGCCACAGTTTATTCAGTTAGACATTACATTAAATAACCAATTTAATACATTAAAGTTATATAATTATGTACTGATTTTAGCGAATTTTTTACTGACAGTATTATTCTAGTACAATCCACTACTGTACAAGAAAAAGAAGCTTAAATGGAACAAACCAAAGTAGCCCAATATGCATATTCCTAAACTTGTATCTAAGTATTTTTCTTTTTTCTTTTCCTAAATCTTTTTAGTAATATCTGAATCTACAACGTCTGGATAAAGACAATCTTATTTAACGAACAATTGAATAGTGTTCAACATATTTTCGTATTAATCTGCCTATTGCTTATAGGTTTACCAATTCCGTTATCTATTATGAGTTACATACAAAGGTTGTTCTATTATATCTACTCTAACGATATCTCGTATAATTACGTGCATTTCTCAACACATTAACGTGCTGCGAGTGACCTAGACCGTCACGGTTGTTGATTTGGTTCAAGTTTGTTTACCATAATAACCAAGTTATTATAGTCTTCATATATAATAAACAACTCGGAACTTTCCTTAAATATAACTACAATTTTCTTATTTCTGAACTAAGTTCCTTGCTGTATTCTCTTTATACCAATTTCACAGTAAATCGTTTGGTTCAACATACCACAGAGAGTATAAAATAACAAATTAACTGCTAATAATTCTCTTTGTTGTCACAACCGACGCAACAAAAGTAAGGGATACATGAAGACGTTTATATACAATACATACATATTGCTTCATGTAATATCCTGTAATATACCGCCTGTGCAATGTACAGGTTCTATTAATCAGACATTGGTGGGTGTAGGGTGACCATACATTATTATAATAGATTTCAAATACACGTAAAAGAAGGCAGTACTACATTCACACGAAAAGACCAAGAGTATAGAACAGAATTTCCTATATAAACGTCATAGTGTAAAATGTAATTTGTCCTCTAGTATACAATAACTGATGGTCACCAAGTGGCAGCCAGTCGCGCTGCATTCCTTGACACCTGGCGTCCATCTACATAACGCGTTCGAAGTTTCACAACATCATAGAAATCTCAACAACACCATTACATATTCCGATACATAACTTCACATATTGTTTCATAACACTTATACATATAACTATATTTCATATTCCTCAAAATATTACCACACATATTCCAATGCAATACTATTAAATATATTAATGGTTCTATACTGATATTTTGTTAGATTTATATTTTTAATTAAGTTTTATTACTAACCCTTTTAAGTTTCTCATATTTTATTGACCCATTTTAAACCCTAAAAGTACGGTAACCGAAGTCTGTAGACCTTGATAATAGTCAATTTACATAAAATTTTATGCAGTAATAACTTTTTATTATTTAATTTCATATCTGTAAGCTACCAGTCGACTGCAGTTGTATTGTTAAACTTGGGTCTTCAATACAATATGTACACACACACACACGCGCACACACACACACATATATACCTCACGTATAATATAATTGGATGATTTTCATTGGTTCTCAATTACAATAATGTACAACCAACATATAGACGTAATGAAGGAAATGTTTCTAAAACAACACTATATTTGTCTAAATAGAATATCCGCAAATTGACATACCTATATGACATATATATATTCGTAAACCAGCAATTTAATTTACGCTTACTTAATTCAAGATTAGAAAAACTGGTAACTATAATTTCTTTTAATACATCTAAAACAAGTTTTTTTCGTTTAGGATATTTTTTTTCATTTAAATAGATAACAAAAGCAATATAAATTAATTAAAAATATTTATCGTGGATAATTACTACAGAATTTACAATATTATCGCCTAACGTAACGTGAGGTATTTTTTCGAAAATATTCGATAATAGTAAAAATTAAACGTCTTAGTTGATATAAATTCATTATTACTAATTTTATTATCAACTTATTTGCACTTCGAGAACGCCTTAATTAATTAAAGTTTTTGAAATTAAACAATAAATGAATTAATGATTAAATGTTTAAATTCATACAATGTCATATCCGTGGACAAAAGCTGACTCGTATTGGTGGGAATCGATACTATCATACCCATTAAGTAATAAGTTAACGCTTTAATGATTTTTATTGGTTATTACATAAAGCTTATAATAACTATAATTATTGATACAAAACACACAATAAAAATTCAACAATACGTTTTCTATACAAGACGAGCATTTCATAATGATGATTCGTTCTGAATATCTAACGGCGAACAGCTTATCAACTACCATCAGCTGAGGATCAAGCATAAGTAAACAGCGTAACGTGCACTCGGAATACATGATCGAACACCAATAAAGAATGCTCGAGCTATTTAAGCTTTCTAGTATTGTTGGTAACTAAAATATTTTGTATTATGACATAATAATATATAAATTAAGTCAAATTTATATGTAAAATTTACAAGGACCTTGAAATTTCGCCTAATCAAACGACGGGACCGACTGACACGTAACAAACATATCGACATCCGGTGAATACGATTACTGCGAAATTATCGTAACAGCGGTCCCAATATGTTCGTAAATAATAATTTTAAATTCAATTTCTATATAATATATGTTAGAGTTAAATTAAAATAATTGACACTGAGATAAACAAATTTAAATACTTCTAGACAAAACTGGAGAATAATAACATTAATTTAATTTTCTTAACTTAATCTTAGTTGCTATATTGAAATAAAATGTAACGATCTTTCGTCTAGTAAAACGATGGTAATTTAGACGTGTTCAATACAGTAAGTTACTACTCATATGTAGTTCACCAAGACAAAGTGTTGAAGTGAACCAAGTGATGGAACAATAATGGCAGCCGTCCAACTGTGACGAGCAACCATCGACTCAGCTCATTGTTAAACAGAACACATTCTAAGATGCAGCTCGCTGAATACTCATCCTTCAATTAGAATTGAACTTTTTACTCAATCATATAATTACAACTACCATTACAGTCTGAGCAATCATATGATTTTATGTTTCAATGACCTAGATTTATAGTCACTTAGAAATTCAATTGCAGTTTAAATTTTGTAGAATATAAAAAAAACACTAGAGAACATATTATAAGTGTGTTTTGAAAGTGTTTTATAAATTAGTTATTTTATTATCTACATTATCTTAAATAGCTCCTGTATGTTTCTATAGTGAATTTAAAATTCAAATTTGATGTCTCTTTTATATTGAATATTAATAACTTGTTATGGAGTGAATAGAAACACATTTATATATTATGTGAAGATAATCAGTTGGAACAGTCATGTTTTAATCATCATCATATGTTGACTTGACTCTGTCGGACTATAACATAATATAATTCATCCTACAAATAAAAACATTTACATTGCCATAATATTCTACCACTCCAGTGTGAATGAAGCCTTAGTTTAAAATAAAAACAAGGATAATAGAAACATGATTAACTACTTACTCGGCAAAAGACAATAAATAATAGTAAGACATGTGTTTGTAAAGTTAATTTTGAATAAAAATGAGTATTTTATTAGTGTATAAGATAATTAAAGTTGATAAATCTCAAGTATAATATGCTGATAACAACACTATTTAACGGAAAAAAAAAGAAAAAAAATTAAGTTGATGATAAAATTTTAAATGTAACAAAAATAAAGTTGCATTTGTGATATATTACATTAAATTTCTTTATCAGTGATTCTAAATTTTATAAAGTACAGATTTTACCAATTCAAGTCAAGGTCCCACCGACCCTATTCTTGATATCTTAAATGCGGTACAAATAGCCAGCTCATTGTAATTTACTCATTAAAGTCATAATGTCAAATCAAAATGAGACTTTTCCTGTTTATGAGACCTAAAAGTAGACAATGACTAAGCATCTAACTCCAATATATTGTTACATTATTAAAATATATATATTATTTCCATTAATGTATAAAATTGGCTTCTTTTATTAAAATGTCTAACTTAAATTAAAAATAAATAAATAACTGGTGATTATAAAAAAGTATCAGGAACGCAATGTTTAATTTTAATTAAATTTTAATGTTTTTTTATAGTACTTACTAAGAATTATTTATATAGAACTGATAATGAAACCAAGATACTCTTGTGGAATTGATCTACTATATTTATGTTATATATATATTTATTTGTCTAAGTATGCTTTGAAATGGTTTTAATTTCTGTTTAAAAAAATTTTTCACTTCAATGAATAATGTAAACAGAATCAATTGATTGTCCGTGATGTTTTTATTTTCGTAATAAATAAAGAGCATGTGTTAAGTTGGTGAGATGTTTGTTTAATATGTCTTATACAGGGTATCCATTATAAAATGTAAATGATATCTTCAAGAGTCCCGTCTAGACATAAAGGTCGTTAATCTGTTGTTTATTAACAATCGCCACACGAATGGGTGTGTTCTTTCATTAAAGACAATGTAAACAACGCAACGGACATCTGCAATATGTATGACTAATAAAAAAATTCGATATGAATAAAAGTGTCGAATAACATACTAAAAAGTGCCGCGATGCCAATAAAATAACAAAAGCGGATTAAATGTCGCCTGTAAACAAGCGTGTTTGTAAACAAGAATGCCGGTAGTTTTTACATACCAGAACTTTGATGAATCGACTCTCTAATTCATCTCTGTCCGGCATCGGGGGCTTGGTTCGATTTCTGGTGGACGGCTGCCGGACATGGTGATTCTTGGTAGTTCCGACCGGTCCGTCTAACATTGTCTGATCCCTCGAAGTAATCAAACCCATTTTACACTAAACACTCATAGAAAACCATCAAGCACTTTTCAGAAACATTAGGTCATTTTTATCACAGAACCACACTTAATCACATACAAAAAAAGAGTCACATTATACTGAATTCGTGATAGGAAAATGCTCAAATCGAATTCATCAAACAAAACAGAGGAGCGCTGCGGAAATGCAAAGGCGTCGCACGTCCACTATCAAAATGCGGGCTGTAGCTTTAAATGTGAAGTTAGCCAAGTTTCTATTCGCGCTATCAGTCGAAACTGTTTGACAGATGTTCAACCAATAAAAGCAGAGGCCCGTTCCGAAACCTATATCACAGATTATGGCAATCAGAAACGTCTCGTATAAAGAAACACTGTCATTGTAGATTTTTTCTTAATTTTTATTAACGATTGCAGTACAATAATATTTAAAATTGTTTCAAGTACAGAAAATTTTGAACACTTCTATTTGCCTTTGTATTACTTTTGACATACTTATTATTTTTAAACATTGCTTTTTTTTGTTGAGATATCAGTATAGTTTTTAATTTATCCAAACTTATAGTAATCAAATGTTTATTTTAATTAATTACAAAATATGATTTCAAAACGCACCACCATAAACGTAGATTTAAGGCGGTAAATTTAAAAAGGTAACAGGATATTTATACTGTTTCTTTCCATTTTGCATATCTATATTTGTTAGTTTTTAAATAACAATCCCCGCGATCTTCGTCTTAAATATTTTATTGAAATCGAAAATCGTTAAATATATTTTTCACTGCATTTTGCCATTTCAAATATGTTCTTTTAAAGACTTCTTCATTGAGACGTTGAGATTCGTGAATATGTATTTATTTAAAATTGTTATTAATGATGCCAAACCTCAATCATTCTTAATACATAATTTAATCTTAAGTAATGTGAATTTAAATTAAACGTTCATCAAATCTAAATCTTCATCAATAAAATCAGTATTCAGAATAAAAATTTTAAACATTTCTTTATAATATTCAATCAGAAAGCAGTCTTCATGTATTTTCTACAATATGTACCTACTTGGTAAATTTCAAATTGAATAAATAATGATAGGAAGATTAGTGCGGCGTATCTCATCTATATTGTAATTATTAATAATATAATTATTTTTATTTTATTTATTTATTTATTTTGGAAATACCTACCATCGGCATATTCACAAACCATATGTGGAAAAAAATATAAAAAGTAAACTTGTTCAGTGTGATACACCATTACAGGTATTTACATTATTAGTTACATGATAAAAAAAGAACTAAAGGTAAGGTAAACACTACACTAAGACATTTAAAGAATCTGAATTAGGTATGTATATAAATAAAAATAATAGAAACATTCATTTACATCTTTATAATTTGGAAGTTCGTGTTTATATCATTTCTTCCAAAATCACTCGGCGGAATCGGAAACAAAATAAAACATTTTCTTGTATTTAATTTAATTTTATTATTTTTGCATAGTACAGAAATACAGCTGTTACGAGAATAACGTTATTGCCCGTATCCAATTAATATAAAATAAATATAATACACCAATTCATTTGTTAGCACCACTTTTTTTTGCATTTTCTTTTTTATAAAAACGTATATATAACCTAATGTTTATGAATGCAGTAATGATACACAGTTTAGGATCTGCTCAGTAACATACAAAATAACTCTTAATATTACAATTAGTTCGTTATTAAGTGTCGATACATAGATCGCTCACACTGCTAACATTAATCAAATTAGGTTATATAGGTAATTTTTTTATTCATCACTTACCAGAAACAAACGAAAATTTGGTCCATCTTCAACAGTAATTCAGAAAGCATCTTCAGAAACCAGTCTTTGGTAAGACAGAGATGCACCAGCTTACATTTATTATATCACAAGCATATCTCCAGCATAATCTCAGTCAGACTTATTATACATTTATTTATTATAAAAAAAAAATTCAAGCACATTATGCAACTATTGAGAGTTAATAATATGTTAGTTTTAAACTAACGCGCTATAGACCAACATTGTATTAACTGAAGTAGCAAGACAAAGGACCATTGAACCCATTACTATGCGATCACCGTACAGTAAGGTACATAGTTAATTTGTCACTAAACATTTTAATACTTCTAGGTATATATCTCTCATTATTATTTAACATTAAAACTAATCTTGTATAACATTTACAATTTATTCATAATAAATCTTTGTATAAAATAGCCGAATATGTTTTTAATATAAAAGCCCGTATATTAAGGCACAGTGTAATGAGCTTATGGCGAATGCCTAATTACGCAAGCCGTGAAACTAATTTAAGACAACAGATCACAAATATTCAAACGATACCAAACATACAATTAAAATGCTTGTAACCTACTTCAAAGATAAATAAAACATTTATTGTATACATACGTACTCACCCTCCTCCTTGTATTCATACAAGATAAACTACAATATAATAACAGTTCAGGAACTTATAGATACATCATAAACATAGTGACGGCTTCTCACAAATACCAATGGACATACAAAGATATCATTAGTATATATTAATATTGTCTCCACTACAAATACAAATGTCCATTATATGTATTATATACATATATAAATATGTCACTATGTAAAAATTATGTAGTCACCGAATTATGACATAACATCTAACACGTATATAGACGACTTACTAATAAAGATACATCCTTACAATGACAAGGTGAAGATGCTCTTATTTATTAAACCAAAATTAAAAAGCTCTTGCTTCCCACTAACAAGTATATAAATTATACAATGCTATTAATAACAATTATTCATACAAACAATTGTTATTATATCAAAGTTACACGACCTACCCTCATGAACTACAGCGTTAGCTACATCCTGTATATAAATTCAATATATTTGCATGTGTACTACGCTATATAAATGGTTTAGATATTTAAAATTAAATAATCATTTATGTCATAATGCAGTACAACAGACTCATCTACAACACTGTCTAACATTTTCTTCTATACAATAAAAGCACAAACTAATTTATGATAAAACTTTTCCAATAACCAACGTATAGACAGTATATAAATCAACACAGTTTTAGACGAGGGATCACTTCTACTCTACACGGCCTCTGTTAGATTAATACATACATCAACCTGTCCGTGTATCAAGTCACGTGACCAACGCTATACACTCTACCCGTCTCAAAGGCTATACATAGACTCTACATCAGTCCTATATACTATAGATACATGTTACATGTTAAATGTGTTCTTTCTACTTGGAGGAGGGGTAGTAGTAGAGCACCGCACAGCCGGGCAGCTGCCAGCGGGACGCGTGCAGTTCAATCAGCTGGAGGAGCGTGCGTCGTATGGAGGGCGCGGCGGACGTGTTGATGAACGCGTCACGGACCGCTGATAGGAGGCGCTCCAGGTCACCTGGTAGTTGCGTCTCCAGGTCACGCCCGATGTATGTAAGGACAAAGAACAGATTCTCCGTCTGAAACATTTGTATTACATACAATACATTTTTTGCTCGCTCGAGCCGTTGTTGGGATAGGACCTATTAAAAATAAAGGATTCGTCAAACCGTCTATGACGTTACTAAAGGCATTGGTGACGTCAGTTATGCTGACATCATACTGTTTACAAAGTACTACGGGGATTCAATGTTAATAAAGTGATGTCTATGTATAAAGTTGGAAAATTTACTAAACTCATCAGCTATTCGTCCAGGTTAACAATACATAGTATATTGAAATTGTCTAAGCTACTAATAAGAGATGTTGTCCTCAAGAATTTATCTAGTTACTAGCTGACCCGGCACACTTCGTACTGCTTCAATTGATAAATAAATATTTTTTTTGGAGTTTACTAAAACTCTCACTAAAACTAGAGAACGGCTGAACGGATTTATCTACTCTTCGTATTGAAATGTTCGTGGAGGTTCAGGTAAGGTATAAAAGCCGATAAAAATTTATTCATTTCCGGGAAAACCCTAAAAACAGCCCTTTTCTATTTTCAATACAAACGTTTTTTTAACATTAGATTTGACCACCAACTAATATGTCAGTCATTCTGTCGCACTTCAAAACGCGGAGAATGATGGCTTAAAGGTAAACTCCAAAAATATACATAAAAAAACGTAACAGATATTTCTTGATTATAGGGCGATACGAAGTTCGCCGGGTCTTCTAGTATATATGTATATAAGATGTGTGTGTAACTCACGTCGCTGGGCGAGGGCACCGGTTGCCGTATACAGTCCTCGCAGCACTTGCAGATGAGCGCGAGCAGCACGTGCCCGGGCGCGCTGTGTCCGCGCCGCTGGATGGCGCGCCGCCGCAGCTGGCAGTACATCTCCAGCAGGAACGAGAGGAACGCCATCAGGCGGGGACGGCCGCCGCTCACCACCGCGCCCAGCAACTATAATATGTTTATTAACAAAAAAAAAAAACAACATTATACAATGAAATGTCCGGTCCTACCCACACTAGTATTCCTGTGTCGTGGGTACCAATTTAATTGCACGACATACATATACATGTTTTATGTGTCTTTGGACAGATAAATATGAAGCTCCTTAATGAGATGAGGCTTTTCGCTATTTTTCATTTAAATTAAACTAATATTTTTTGGATGTACTATGTTACGCATGCTTAATTTTTTGTAAAAAAAACGACATACTCCCGACATTTTCGGTTACTTTTCAACAACTGTGATCACTTTTTGTTTTTGGTTGCCGAAAACTAACTAAAACTTCGGGAGTATATAGTTTTTATAGTAATAAAATACGCGTAGTATAATCCGAAAAATACTAGTCTCGTTTAAATAAAGCTCCAAATTAAGCAAATACGTTGACATCAGCTATGATCATCATGACAATAGGTCCAGTGCAGAAACTTGTACACTCGATTTCTAATACATCAGAGCTCTGTCACTACTACGACGGATGATCACAAAACGATCAACAAGTCAATACATTCATATCAACCTGTTGAAGGTCTAAAATCTATACAATATGCTACTAGTGTTGCCATCTGTTGTAAAACATGTTTTTAAAAATAAAAGTTCAGTTCGTACCACTCATCTATGCGAATACGTTGTTTAATTATACAACCAATTCTCATATATTTCATTTTTCTCACCTTATCCCTGTCGTGATACCACTGCTGGCACGTGTTCAGTAGCGACTCGAGAAAAGTCTCCGTGTTCTCTCTCTCCACGACCGCGATACATCTCCTGGCTGCGGGCAGCGCGTACCGCGGAGACTCAACCGCGCGAGAGATCAAGTGACCCACAGCATCCATTAGCGTACGGGCGCACACGGCGTTGGGGTCTGAAGCGTTATTATATGGATATGAGAGGAAATTGAGGAAAATTTAAATTATGGCTATTTCGAAGTGAGAAATAGTACATTATTTAAGTATATTGAAGAATATTAATGATAGAATAAGGGGAACTTGTTTCATGTCAACATGAATATCCTCTACGGTAGAATGAGACTAATCGACGTGTCTTAGGTTCAAGTTTATAAATGAAATCGGCACATAGATGATTTTATATGCAAAACATGTATGTACATTTGTTATTATTTATATCATACTGTGCTTTGTCTATTTATTATAAACTCAAATATCTCACCTCTGAAATTTTAAAGTGTATTATCATGAATATCGGATATTTAAAAAGTAAATTATTCGTAGAATATCCAAGATACATTGGTGCAGGAAGCTTATTCCATCTATGAGAAAGTGATTTTTTAAAATATTTTATGCACTGCGTGTATTTACAAAAAGTGCAATAACAATGTGAAGAATTACTTAAATCATTAGGACATCGACAGGACCATTTTGCAGCAACGTCTTACTAAATGGAATCTAATATTCTGACAATCAATTTCAACTGTTTTATAATCCCTAAATCATTCCAAACCAATAATACCAACCAAAGAATCTGTCCCACCATAATTCCTCTACTCTCCTCCTCCCATCACCGTGCTGGAGACGAATAATAAAAAACATAGATTACCAACCATTTTTCTCACCTTCCAGTGCCTTGTCAATGCATTCCTGTATCTCGGGGGGGAAGTTGCCAAGGTCACCGGCGTCAGCGGCCAAGCCAAGGGCAGCCATGCCACTGGCCAATGTATCAGCTGTTGTCAAAGATTTAGAGCGCTTGAGACCGGGCGTGAATGACTGAGGCCTAATGCTCTTCCCGTTGCCGTTGGATAGCGAAGATGGGGGTGACTTCTTTTTCTCCTGAATGATCTGCTGCGGCTGGAGTTTGAAATGAACCCGAGGACCCGACTGGAAGAACACGTGATATATTTGTTAACATAACGTTGTTTGTAGGATAAGAAAATGTGTGCTCTAGAACCATATGATTGTTCTAAAACTGCTTTGAATTCAACGTTACTCGAAAAAAGAGAAACATAGAAATTGATAACTCTCGCTCTTAAACTTAAGGCATTCTACTAAGCGTAAATCTTCAACAACCTCACCAATCCCCCAGATTACTTTCCAGATCAAGGGTGTCATAAAAGTTTAACTTCAAAATATCTGAATTCTCAATATATATGTATGTGCGTATGTTATAAATATATTACGTACGTTAGCGTGCGGTACATTGCCGCTAGAGGCGCTCGTGAGTAGCGCGTGCGGCGGCATCACCGGCCTGAAGTGTGGCGGCACCTGCGCGTGCAGCACCACCGACCGAGAGTGCTGCAGACCCACGCTCGTGTAGCCCAGGCCTACAGACGACCTGCACGAATAACATTCGATTCAGTTGAAGTTCAAACACAAATAAATAATCTTCCGAGTTAATATTTGTTACTTAAGCATAAAAGGTATAAATGCCACTCTACGGTGCCCATATTTGATCGGCTTTCAACGCTAGTTACATAGTTCCGTTGATGCAAACACAGAGAACCATAGCTTTAGGGGTGATTAGGAGCTATCACTGTTCATAGTAAAACATGAGCGATACAGGGATGAGGGTAACGGTTAATTGTTGTGGTGGGTTAATATTCATTCGAGGTCGTCGTGCATATGGGAACATCTTCTGGGAAGAAGACCACATAACCATCCCATTTATCACCCCTGGAGGAGTGTGGTTACCAGTAATGCATTCTTTACAACGTTAAAAAGACGGCTTATCATCAAGTAATAAATTATTCATTTCAAAGTTAAAATATTTCTTTCCGTTTAGTCGCTAATTGACGCTACCGGGCAAATGATTCAAGAGTTTATTTTGGGATTATACTCGAAATTTGAAATATGCCGCAAGATAATATGTAACTATATAAATAAGATAAATCATATACACACACTATCTTCACGGCACATTTTAAACTTCATGTCATCAGCCTATCAGAACCCACTGCTGAGCAAAGGCTCTTCTCACATGGAGACGTTTTGAGAATTAATCACCACGCTTGCTCAAGACGGGTTGGTGATTTCAAACTTATAATTGTGAAATTATAAGTCCAGGTTTCCGATGTTTTTCCTACACCGTCTGTCAGTGGTGTCTAAATACTTTTATAAAGTACATATGACTCGGAAAAATCACATTGGTACTTGCCAGGATCGAACCCGCGCCCTCGTACACGAGAGTCGGGCCTCTTAACCACTAGTCCATCACTGACTATATTTACTTTTATTTAGCAACTTCATGCGTATAACCCTAATTGAACACATGAATTATTCATTTGCCGGGTAGCTTTAAATATACATATATACCATGTTTTCTATTTCACACGCTCCCAACTGAACATAATGAGATGAATTCTATCAGTCGAGTTAACTCCTGATAACAATCATTAGGTAATTTGTATTAATTACATACATGTATTGTTTGCAAGTTTATCACGGTCAGTCTGTCACACATGCCATATTATTATACATGTCAAAGCATCAAATTGATTTCTAAATTGATAAATACTTGCTATTTTTCATAACAATATTTAAGGCACATGACGCAAGTTTGGTAACCTTGCCAGTCGAAGTCGATGGACACTTGCAACATATTATATGGCAACCATTTATTTATTTTGATGGACAATGTCACTTGCATATTCACTGGAATGCATAATAATTCATATACAAGTATTTTCCCACTAACATAGAAGATAGTTTTGGGTAGAATTTGTTTATTTCTTATATATTTTGTGTAATGCGTTTCATTCTGTATGATTAAGACGTTAAGTCTAAGCCTGATAATTTTAATATTGTTTATGTATCAATCAAGTAATGTAAAACATGAGGGGCGTATAATAATGTTTAAGAGTATGATTTAATAGTTATTTTTAATAAGCTAGCACAATCAGTCTATGCACAGGAAGTAAAACAGACAATGGCGATGGTCACCAAAGTATTCCAAACACGTCAGGCAGTTAAGGGCAACGATTGGTGAGCGCTCTATACAATAAAATATCAAGCTGACGAGTCATTATGTACAAAATATGTATATTTTAATAAACATTATGATGTAATCACTGATTGTAATATATTAAACATTTAATAAATAAAAAAATAAAAACTTCCCAAGTACTATGTATTTGACTTGGAAATCATTTTATTTTGGTATCATACTAAGTATCCACCAATTTATCATTGTATGTTATACATATACGATCAAGCGACGATTTGTAAAAACTGAATGTTTTGAGTTGACGATAGAAACTGCTATAAAGGGCTTAGTCATTTTCATATCGTAAATTTAATAGATTCATTTATGAATATGAAGCAAAATAAACTATACAAAGCTGTATTCATTTAACCTTAAATAACAATAACATAATCCGTCTTGTGGTGCGGAATGAGGGCAAGTAGTGTGTCCGCTCTCTTTCATACGTACTCAAGAAAACACCAACTAAGACTAACAATTGCATGCTTATAATATTATCTTCTTCTTCTACCTGGCAATTTCCCAGCTATAGCCAGGGTCTGCCTTACATGTTGTGAATAGTTTTGGCTATTTGTTTTAACGACCGGCCGCCTGCCTGACATCAACCTCTTTTTGGGAATCAACATTAAATCAGTGATGTCTAAATACTCTAAGAAAGTACATAATATAACTCGGAAAAATCACATTGGTACTTGCCCGGGCTAGGATCGAACTCGCCCCCTCGTGCATGAGAGGCGGGCCTATTAACCACTAGGCCACCCCTGACTACTACTACTTATAATATTATCTAATTAATCTTAATTTAGAATACGTAATAGTGTAACTCCTAGCAGGTTATCTATATATATATATATATAAAAGAGATTTCACGATATCTCTGGAACCATAAGGCGTAGCGACTTGAAATTTGGTAGGATCATTCCTTTTGCCGAGTAGAAGTCGGCTAAGAACGGATTTTATGAAATTCCACCCACAAGGGGGGTTGCGGGGGATAAACAATGGAAAATACGCTTTCACGCCTAACCCACTGAACTGATTTTTAATGAAATTTTGGTACAGAGGTAGACTTGACCTTGAGAAAGAACATAGGATAGTTTTTATCCCAGACTTTTGAATGGTTCTCTTGGAAATATAACCGGACTCCATGCGGGCGAAGCTGCCGGCGGAAAGCTAGTACTATATATACTCGTATGTACAGACTACTAGCAGAAGTTTAAAATATTCAAAGGGGTAATAGTTCAATAATATATAGGCAGTTCATTATATTGGAACAGGTCCAACCAGCATCACCTATGATACTATCATCTTCATTACCGTATTAATGACAGGATATCTCCTACATATTTGGTTTTGATGCCAAATGATAATGCTTTAAACTAACTATCTGCACCGCTCGGATGAAACATTGTTCTATTTGAAATGTATGACAACAAACAGACGTACATGCTGATCAAAACATAGTATACTTTTATTAAATTAAGAGTTTATTAAAGTTAATACTAATTAAAAGACCGTTAGAAACCGAATTTTCGTTTTTGTGTGTATCAAAGACAATAAGTATCACAATGGTGCGACTTTTTAAGTCACTCGGATCAAATCAACGAATTTTAACCCAACAAAATGCTCATCACAAGCTAACGTTATACAATTAGCTTTTCCCATATCTCAATTAGTAATGCAATGGTGTACGAAGATCTATGAATAAAAACTGTAACGCTCCTTATGTAGTGTGTCGATGAAAACTTAGAATAAGCATACTGGCTGTGTTTGTAAGCTAATTGCTAGTTATTTATACAAAAAACAAAACAATCATATTTTAAACCAACTGTAGTATATTATATGAGCAATACAGACAGTAATTATAATACACTAGTTCCAAGTAGTGAATACTCTCAGTATACAGAGTAGGACACGCTACAGAGACAATATATTAATATAATGTAACAGAGTCCTGTAACAAAACGTTTACTGTTACTGTATTGTATCATTCATCGTGTGTTTGATCTGTAATATGTGTATCTACACAGTACACAACTCAAGTATTGAACCAAACGAACGGAACTGTTACTGAGAATATAATGAACAATACTTTATTTTTATTATATTTACTAGCTGACCCGACAGACTTCGTACTGCCTCAATCGATAAATAAATAATTATTTATTTATTTTTTTGAGTTTACCTATTAACCATAAATCTCCGTGTTCTGCAGTGCGACAAAATGATTGACATATTAGTTAGTTGTCAAATCTAATTAAAAAAAAAAACGTTTGTATGGAAAATGAAAAGGGCTGTTTTTAGGGTTTTCCCGGAAATGAATAAATTTTTTTCAGCTTTTAAACCTTCCCTGAACCTCCACAAATATTTCAAGACTAAGATAAGATAAATCCGTTCAGCCGTTCTCGAGTTTTAGTGAGACTAACGAACAGCAATTCATTTTTATATATACAGGGTGACTGGTGAATTACTATCAATATTTAAGGAGAATACTCGGTACATGATTCTCATTCGAATTATGTAAAAAAAATAGGCACTTAATTTTTGACAAAATTTCCGTATAAATAAATAAAGTGTTGACACGTTCCAAGTGTTCAAGTGTGGACGCGTGCGGCGGCGTGCTGATACAACACTACGTCACGACACGCGTATGTGTGAGTGTCAGTGTATACCTAATCTGTAGGGTGTTCACACGATGCGTAATTAATTACATAACTTTTGGTTAACTTTACTTAGAAGTTTATTAATATTTATGTTATATTAATTTTTATTTTGTCATATATGATCGTCAAATATCACGTCCTCAAATATCGATAGTAATTCACCAGTCACCCTGTATAGATTGACATTACTTATGTTGAAGATTGTACAAATTACAATGTTTAGATTTTTTGGAGAAAATATCGAAGTGCGATTAATATAAAAACGTAAACAGTAAACTTGAGGTGAGCATGTAGAAATTCTTGAAGTCTTTATATAATTTCTATTTTTCTAATAACCCATTTCAATCTAGTTTTGAGATCACTTATTCTAGGATTTGATTTAGGACAGCATAGATTTTTATACGTAACCTCAGTACCACAAAGGTTTTGTTTACCGTTTGGAGGAGAAAACTAGAATCAACTATAATTGTTCGAGCAATTGTTCTAATCATTACTATCAACGTGCTATTTTATTACAGGAAGATTTTTTAAGTCTTCTTGGAATGTATAATATAATTCTAGCTCAACTCGGCGTATTTTAAAATTTGTAAAGCACTTTAATACCGTGAGGTATTCTTATGCTTTAATATACAAACATCTCAACTAACAGTCTTAAGTCCTAACAAGTGAGTGTCACGTGTTAAAAATATAATATCGGAGGTGAAGACTTGCACTTGTGACGCTCAGTTCTCACACACACTCACACACACACACACACAAAACGACAACATCATTATAAGTAGAACATGAGTAATATATAGTAACGCCAGAAATATTACAAATAAACGAAAACCATCACTGACCAAAACATATATGTTTACACGAAGTTTTGATTAATATATTCCGAACAATATAATAGAATTAAATACTCATCCTCTTTGAATCATACGACCGGCGGCGAGGGAATGCTGAGTGTTTCCTGAGTTTAATGAAATAATGCTTCTCATCATACAAACATTGCTTAAATTGATGCATGAATCACGTCACGTGGGTGGAGGAGAGGAGGACGTCTCCGAGACACAGGATTTAGAGGAGAGGAACCAGATACAACAACGAGGTTATTGCACTCTGTACGGGAATGAAATATTTAAGGGTGCATCATCAGCCTATCAGAGCCCACTACTGAAAGGCCTTTTCTCACATGGAGAAGGTTTGAGCATTAACCACCACGCTAGCTCAAGACGGGTTGGCGATTTCAAACTTATTACAGGGTGCATCAGTAATATTAAGTGACTCATATGAGCGGAATAATAGCTCGACTCGACCTTGGAAATAACGACACTAGTACACTGACGCACTTAATTGATGACCACTGATGTACCAATTTTTGAAACTAAGCAAAATTAATGTCACTCTTTCGTTTGCCAAATAAAAGCTAGATAGCATTTTAATTTATACAATGTGATAACACTTGTTTATTTAACTGTACTGATAACATCTACAGTACAACTATTTGCTTTGGTTATAAAGATTTTTTAAACTTTATTGCATGTTTATTAAATACTGTATGCGTTTGTGCGTAGTTAAAAAATGTGTGCCTTTTCGGATAAATTAAATTTAATATAGAACTCAAACTATTTCTAACAAACCCTGTACATATTGAATAGCTAATGACAGGAACCGGAAACAGTCGTAACAACAATGTTTTCAGCGTAATAACACCTCACTTGTATACAAAAATAAAAGCATTATTGTGTCATACTCACATGTCAGATGTGGAGTATCTGCCTCGAACCATTATGAATGTAACCAAGTAATATTTATTGCACTAAACACTTAACAAAACATATTTAACAAACAAACACTAATAAAACACAAGAATTAACCTATTACTATGAAATGCAAGAAATGCAATATTAAAAATGATTATTCGAGTCAAGTGTCTAGTTTAATTTAAGTATAATTTTCGTTCGTTCGCGGTCGTATGTATTATACAAAGTAGAGGCCGAGGTCCGAGGGCGTGCTCCCAGCTCAACGGCTCGAGACACACTGATAACAAAACACGTATAAGCAACATCCCAACACGAAAACAACACATTGGACAACAGCCAACTCCCTATGCCCGGATATACTATTCTTTAAAAAAATATACCCAAAACAACAAAATAACAATCAATTCTCCAGTACTGTACTTACTAGACGCTAGTACTGAATGAATTATGTCAAATTTCCTTCGACTTTTCCAACGCGTCAAACAAATGCTTTAGCTTCAAGGTCGTCTATTTATAAATGTTCCAACACCAGTGATGTCTGTAGCTGGACTTGTTAAATGCGTCGTTTGTACGTTTTTCGTCAATGACCTTATAAAACTGTCCTATATAGGTTATAATGCTTAATTGTCAGAGTCAAGCCATCTTATAATGTTAGTCTTAAAGTGTGTATGCTTTATATCATTTACTATGGTAAAACAGAGCACAAAGTATTCGAACTAATTTATAATGCAAATGTTAAAACGTGCAAGTATTCTATATAAAATAATTCTATATATTATAATCGCTAAGTAATTTTTATATTAAAAAGACACGTTAATAAATTGCAATATTGATATATCCGTCATTAAAATTATCAATTTACTATTCTTCTTACATCAGTTATGAAAAATATATATGTAGATAATTGTATTAGTATAATACGTTACTTTTTTTTAAATGTTTTCTGTTCTGTTAGCTATATACTCACCTATTATGCAGGTCTGCCGGCTTGGCCATAGTGAACTCCTTGGCGTGCACGTTCAGCTTGTTCCCGGCCGTGGGCGTGGTGGGCGTCGTGAGCGTCGTGGGCGCCGTGGTCGCCACGCCGTCTGTGCGGACACCTGGTGGTCAACGTTGGAGTCAAGAGAAGAGATGATAGGAAAGGTTAGATGACTTAGCGAGTGTGACCTGCGTGATATGATGTGATAGAAACAGTGTGTCATGATAAGCATCACGAGTGATAGGGTGATCATCATTGTGCCTTGATCGTGATAGACTGGTTATTAGTTATAATGAATCAATAAATATATAGAAATGGCGAACTAAAGTGTGACAAAATATATTTAATTATAAATAGCTAGGGTAATGAGATAACATAATGGATAATCCTAGGCTGAGGACTGGAGTAACCTGAGGACGTCCTTCAAATATAATACTACATATTAAATCTTAAAAAGCATTTCTATAATCGTGATTGAAGTCGTATTACTCGAACTATTCAGTCCTTATATTATATCGAAATAAATTTTGATTAAATAGAACTAATTCTTCATATTTCATACAGTTCCTTATACGATTATTTGAGGCTATCCTTTGTTTCATATCTGGTGTGCATCACGTGCGTGATGGACGCCGCGCCGTCTCGCTCCAACGATTAAACTTTCATCAACGCTTACAACAAGACACGCTGTTGCCATCCGAAATACAACTATTGATAAATACTTCATACTACACGACAATATACAATATACAACAACGCTACGCTACGATCGCTTTCAGAAATCTATGTATGTTTAAACAGATTTGTATGTATTAATTTCTAATAGAAGTCTAACCTGAGGTGTCTGATAAAGATTCAGAGCTTGTGACATCTGGTGTCAAAGATGTGACTGGAGCAGCGGCCACGGGAGACACTAAGGGCGCTATGGACACCGGAGACACGGACACCGGCGACACTTGGGCCACACTCGCTACCGGTTGCGACACGGACTGCTTCACTATACAACGAGACATTCCCTCGACCGATCTATCTCATGGGAGCTATGAACGCACGCCTGACACGCGGCCCGCAAACATGAGACTGTCGTGGCGTTCCAAATTTGAAGTTTTGTTTATTTTTAATTTTGGCGCCAATTGAGCGTGGTGACGCTTGCCAGCATTTCCCTATGCGACGCGTTATCGAATCGGAAATAATTATTATAATATTATAAATAACTTTTTATTTCTATCTCACCTGGCGGTCTATAGATTTCGAGTGTCGGTTTCCCCTTGGCGTTCGTCAGGATCATACTCCGCCGTTTCCCATTGTTTGGAAACTGTAACAGATTGTACAGATGTTGTTGTGATATATAAAAGTTATACGTGTATACATAGCTTGATGAACTGTCACAATTTATTTTCAGAGTCTTACAGATTACACACCAAATAACATCATCGACCAATTTAAATTTTTTTTCCGTGACTAATGACGTTGTAACATATGATTTTCGTTTTATAATTTTTATTTTGTTAGTAACATTTGCGTTTATTGCGTTATGTGTAAGGTCGTCAGGTTTTAGAGTTAGTAGGTGTTAAAATGAATTGTGCATTATCCCACGCATTATTGCAATGCCATTAATACATTCTAATCAAATGGCTGCTAGTTTGAAGTTAATCGAATAGAACTAAATTCAATAAATTTAGGTCGCCTTATTTAACCGGTACAATTTTTTTTTTCTTAGCTGTATATCCGTGTATAATCTGTGTTGGTTGTGTAACCTGGTTATGATGCATGTTGTGGTGCGACTGCGGCCTGATGAAGCTCCTCTCTCTCATAATAACTCCGGGGCTGGCGAAGTCCTGCATCCTGTAGCTCCTCTGAAGCTCACTCCCCACACCCATTTGAGCCTGCATCCTGATATATGTGCGCTGGACGGTTTATATATCTTTGGGTGATCACTAGCTCAAATAACCCTATACAATATATCTATATCCGATTATAAATAAATACACTAGATGAATGACTAGTTTAATAGTTACAAATGTCGATAGTTTATGTACATATATGTGTATAAAATATAATAACAAAAAAAAAATATACGGGCAATGTACAAGTGCGTGTACACTAAGCGAAGCTAGGTTGTATCACAATGCTTGTGACGTCACAATAGAGATCTATCCTCATATACACTAGGGCCCCCAGTCGTGGCCACTGAAAGGGGGCAAGTTCGAGATTCGTTTGAAACGACTTAGAGCGGTGCAGGAGCTAGCCTGACAGAGACAGAGCGATTTATATCAGGGACAGGGGCCTGGCTCGATTCGTTTCGTTGGAAGGCCCTTCGACCCTTTATCTGAAAAAGAAAATGAAAATTAACACTATAAATACATGTATAATGTACTGACAATCAGATTTACATCAGAAAAAGATCATTTCGAGAGGAAATTGTTGAACAAAATGGGTATATTAAGCGGTAATTAGTAATAAACAAGATTATATTTGAGTGTGTATGTAATATGTATAACAGAGGTATCAGGTTCCTCCTACAGACCTTGTAACTGATACAGACGAAGCTCTCGATACAAACCGGTTTGATTATAAAATAAAATAAAATGCTCCTGCCTGAGATCCTCGTAAAGATTTAATACTTTTCATGCTCTTTACATACGCGGACTCGCTACCTTATAATATGTTAGGCTTAAATGTTATGCCAAAGACCGTGCGAAGTGGAGGAGTTTAAGTAGGAAGGCAGACCCTGGCTAAAGCTGGGAAATTGCCAGGAAGAAGAAGAAGTTAAGGGTACTCTAGTTTCTCTAGAACGATTTATAGTATGGATATTTTATTTTAAATGTTTTAGCCAACAGTTTTATCGAAATATTTTCTGTATTTTTTAGTATGACTTGTTTGTATATTTTGTCATTATTTCAGCATCGCAAAACATGGTGGTTTCTTTTCTCGTAGGTATGTTTAAAAGTCATCAGTACATGTAATTTCATATGACAAACGAAACCATTACATCCATTCTCATAAGCCAAAGACCCTCATCCTTAAAAACAGATATAATTACAATAAACGATTTAAATAAGAAATAAATAATCCTGATTTCAATAGAGAAGTTAAAGTATTTTTAAATTATTGATACAGTCAATAATACTGCATTTCGAGACCCCAAAAGTTTCATATAAATCAATGAATAAAAAAATGTAGAATAAATGTAAACTGACAGATACTTCTTTTTGTTGCCATGACCACGGTTGTGTTTAAGAAACCTACACCCTAGTCGTCAGAAAATAAATGAGGCACAAATCTTAAAAATATTACAGCATATTCATATTTCCAAACTTTGTATTTTTATTTGCTGAATCGACTTTGCAAAATTTAAAGAATTCGTTCTATTATACTTCTTGCAAAAATAAGTCAATTTTTTTTATTCAACCCCCTGTTTTTCGTTTTTTGTTGCAAATTTTAGTAGGTATGAAAATATATCGAGTAACTTCTAATTTATATTGCTTATAGAAATCAAAATAATTTAACTTCAAAACCAATTCAATAGTGAATTAAGAGGAAAGTACAAAAATCTACCTTATATATAAACATTTTACCAGCTCGATTGTATCTTAGTATTCTTAACCAACAAATCTTTAAGAGTAGGTGTTACTAAAGATTACAAGTGTTTATGAATGTAAAGATCAGTAAAGAGGCAGTTAGAACAACAAATAGGACACAAAAAAATCTAGGGACTCCTTAAGAAAGAAATTCAGGAATAGTAAAGCTGGGTATAGATGGAAAGAGAGATTATCACTCAACAAGCGAAACCTCCAACCAGTTCACACTAGTTTAATGAAGTAGTCAGTAGTAGACTAGCAACAGGATATATTAATTCGCTACAACCAATATGAAACACTTAAAAAACATGTAATTTATGTTAGACGGTGACTAATGAGAATTCAGTGTGGAAAGGCTTTTAGTTCGTCTATATACTTTTTCTTCCTGGCAATTTACCAGCTTTAGCCAGGGTCTGCCTTACATGTTGCGAATAGTTTTGGCTAATTGTTTTTACATCGGCCGCCTGCCTGATATCAAGCCTCTTTTTAGGAATTAGTTCGTCTATATACAAAGGCTGAAATTGTCTTTTTAAATTTAATACTTTAGCTTGATCGGGATAGCTTGGATAGAATTGGACGGATTGGATGGATTGTATGAATTGTATGGATGAAAATATATAATACAATGATTCATATGTGTTCATCTCACCGCTCTTTCGTTGTGCGCCGTCAGACGATCTGCACTCGGACTCGTATGAGCTCGTATTGGTTTCACTGTAACAATACCAGTTACTTAAGTAAATACATAAATATATACTATAAACTATATAATATAATATATATAATAATATTATCATAGTTTTTAAAATTCTGTGCTTGAAATGAACGTAATATTTATGCTGGAAGATGGATAAACTTTCTTTTTTTTAATAATACGGCATTGACGTAATTTTTTCAGCCATTTTATATGTATTTGTATTCTATGATGTGTACAAGTTGCATTGTTTGTGCTCCTTAAAGGTGTATCTCGGTAATACAATAATTACTGTACGTGGCGCGGTTTGTGTGTAAGATAATATCCAATTAGTATTCACGACACTTGAACAGTTGCGTGCATCAACGGAAATATATGAGGAAATCCATATACAGACGCGTGATGGAACTAGTTTAATTACTGTGCATATGACTTAGCTATGAACAATTAAATTATATATTTCTTACTATTGAAAATCAATTATATAGCTCAGATATATTTTTGAGGCACTTCTATTTTGGGTACTTTTTCTTTATTTCGTTAATATAAATACATATATTTTATACTAGCTGTCCGCCCGCAGCTTCGCCCGCGTGAGTTCTTCTTCCAAGAGAACCTTTCAAAAGTCTGGAATAAAAACTATCCTATGTTCTTTCTCAAGGTCAACTCTATCTATGTACCGAATTTCATTAAAAGCACTTCATTGGTTTAGGCGTGAAAGCGTAACAGACAGACAGACAGAGTTACTTTCGCATTTATAATATGAGTAGGGATTCTAAACCAAACTTTTGTAGTTATTTGAGATTTAATAACATAATTTATTTTTATTATTAAAATTTATGTATTTTTTAATTAAAGTCTAATTCAAATAACTGTGTACAATTAAGAATAAATGATTTATAAAGAAATTTGAAAGTAGTTCAATCGGATTTTACTTTTGTGTGATTATAGATAAAAGAAACAAATGGGTAATGCAAATTTACATAAAAGATAAGATTCATACATGACATAAGATGAGGATTATATAAACGTCATATTTCGGCCAAATAAAGTAATTTTAATATGATTTTGTTTAATGCTATGGCTTCATTCGCACTGGAATCTTGGAATATTCTGCCATCTCGTCTGTCCGTGATCACGGCTGCTGTAAAGTAACCGAAACGTCGGGAGTATGTAGTTTAATCAAAAATATTTTGCCAATGTTTTCATAATTTCGTTCGCAAATTATGTGAAAATTATCAAAGTATCATAATGATCATATTTTTTTTTATATATTCAACTGCAAGTTGGGCAGACCCTGGCTATAGCCGGGAAATTGCCAGGTAGAAGAAGAGGAAGATATTCAACTGCAAGTATTTTAAAACAAAATATTTGAGGCTTAAAGTATTTTGTTTTATGCAACTATTTCGCAGATTCTCTTTCCTAGACAGTTAAATGGAACAAGCAAACAAACTAACGTGTTAAGTAATACTATACATGTAGAATATCATCGTGATTCACACTCAGAGACGGCTTCAACCGACAAACATACAATGAGCCAATATTTATACGTAGTTGTACACTTATAAGTGTCAAATGTTATGTTCCCAAAATATACGAGTGAAATTTTGATCAAACAAAGACATATATTTAGTAGATGTAATAATTTTCTGTGTATACTCAAATTTTATTGGTCCTTGCTTAATGTTTAGCTCCTAGCCTCTTAATTATATGCTAGTAGATGTAGTCCCAGCTTAATATGCGATTATGGTTACTGTGTCATAGCATAGTTTAATTTGTCAGCATATAACCTTCCCTCATTAATGTATTTTTTAGCACACAAATGTTTTTTTGATTCCTACCAGTATATTAATCTTAAATATCATAGAAAGACACGCGTTCAAAGGCACATCTAACAAATTCTTCATCTTTATCATATTAGTATAGATTCACGAGTCGCCCACATCTTATTTCACTTTCAGTTTACCAAATGAACTTTACTTAATTGATATTTGAAATCTGAAGACCTACTGACATTTATTTTCTTCTCGTCTGCCCGTGATCATGGTTGCTGAAAAGCAACCGAAACGTCGCGAGTATTTAGTTAAAATAAACAGCGTAGTAAATCCGAAAATATACGTTTTATTGAAATGAATACTCGCGAAAGTCTTAGATCTCATTATCTGAAGATTTATCATTCTAGATAAACCAAGTTATGTATAAAATCAAACCTAAATAAATTAAATGCCAACCCTATAAATACTTTTATTATCAGTTCATATATGTAACCGTAAAAACTAAATTTAATTTATGCTAGCTACATATTTACAAATAACTTAAAACAGTCCTTTAATATTCCTCAATGGATTAATGGTACAGGCCGCTGAGAACGACCCAAGTCACTAGTAATATCATTCGCATATTGCCATACAATGTTTCATTTCATTTCCAAACGCTGTATGATGCATTATGATGCAGATGAAGTATACAAATTTGAAAACTTCACTAGTCGTAGGCGGTGCCGGATGACATCATGTTTACCGACTGCCGTCTGACGCTATATTAATGCAATTAAAACTTTATTCATACAACATAAAGTATACATTAGCATGTGTGGTCCTTGCAAGCTGGGTACATATTGAGATGTTCTAGGTCACTGGGCACGTTCCGTGACTTCTTTGTTTTGTTTTGTCACTAATCTTTAATGGAATCTTTATTCAAAATCTTTATCGTTATCACTATTATTGCGATCTAAAACTGCCTTAATTTTTCAAGAAATTTGAATCGGACTGCTTTTTTAAAGATTTTAGTATACATATGTGTTGAAAGGAAAAGCAGTTGTCCATATAATTGAAGTCAGAATATGAGAAACCATTGATAGGATCAAATGTATGTGAAGATCTCTTGGACACTTTTCTCACCAGTAACAATCACAAATCATTACACCTTTAAGTGAAACACGTCTTGTAGGTATTAAGGACTTATTTATGTTAGAAAGAAGGTACGAATTTATTTTATTAGAACTGTTTTTCGGATTTGCTCTTCATATTTCATAGCTCCATATTTATCCGTCGTTTCGACTTCTTTACACTAAACGTGACGAATACTAGTGATAAGTCTATAAGTACGTGAAACTTTTGAACAAAAAGTAAGGTGAAAGAACCTAAGAATCGACAACGCTATGCTGACGTCAGAAAAATCTAGATCTTTGACCACAAATAGCAGAAAAAGAAAAAAAACAGAAGAAGGATTTGAAATTTTAAACCTTTTTTGTAAAATATAATTTATTTTGTATATCATATTGCAGGACGTCGTAGTTTATATGTGCAACCCAGTCTCAATGAAAACTTTTTGCTGTGATTGTCACTGAAGCTGGATATGTTCAAATCCTTTCAGTTCTAACACATTTAAAAGAAAAAAAATAAGTTTTTAAATTTAGAACACTCCACTTCGCTTCATTAATTTTTTTATCTCTTAATGCATTCTATTTGAAGTGCTCATTGAAGCATGATTCCTTATATCTTTTACAATAAGCATAACTACTGTTATTGAACAAATAAGTTTTAGTCTATGATATGCAGACTTTTTTGTAGAATAAACTACAAACTTCTATTAGTAGTAAATAAAAAATTAGTTATTTTTCAACGAATTATTTTCTTATATAAGGCGTATTGTAGGTATATAAATATTAAATATAACTTCACTATTATTACTGAATTTCTCTTTGTAGCTTTCACTTTGTTCCCTTTCTTTGCTCGATTAGAAGGTTTGAAATGATTAACAACCAATACCTTCCGCCCTTTCACAATGTACATAGATTATTATAGTTGGAACTGAGACTCATTGATGTAAAGAAAGTTCTAGAAGAGGTCTTTTATTTCGAACTGTTTCAAGTTTATTATAATTAAATTAAATACTTGTCATTATTCATTGTGATAAAATTTGTATAAAATTAGGTACTTTTAACTGATAAAATGTATCTTTATTATAATGTCTTAATAGTAAGTCTTTTAAAGTTTATTAAAAAACAATTTATTTCATGTTCAAGATATCAGTATTCCTTACATGAAATATGTTAAATTCAATCACTATTTAACTATATATGAATGTAAGACTTTCCCGAGTATTCATTTAAATTAAACTAATATTTTTCGTATTACACTACGCGTATTTTATTACTGTAAGAACTACATATACCAATCATTCACGTCTCGTCTGTCCGTGATCACGGTTGCTGAAAAGTAACCGAAACGTCGGGAGTAGTTTATTAGTACTAGTAATAATAGTAGTAGCGAGTAGTACTACAATCCGAAACTAGTAGTATAATCCGAAAAATAATACTTTAATTTTCTATTAGTTTATATACTTATACATTCCCAATATAAACATATATTAAATTTCATGCAAGAATATGTATTGCTCATTCACATATACATCATGTATATTAAAATAATAACATAGATTTCTTGTAATATTAGTGTTTGATTTAAAAATAACTTTACTTGGGCGGAGTTATAACAAACTATCAGTGAATATTATCTTACAATATAAAGACATTTTTTACTTGTAAAACGCAATTGAATATTTATGCTGTTATGAGTCAGTAACTTGTTTGAAGAATAGACTTGGCAATCGTATGTTGTAAAACAATTTTATTAATTTAACAATAAATTATAAAATATTATTATATAACTAATTAAAAACTAATAAACCAATTACGAACAATAGAAATCATAAATGCCTAAATTCCTAGCGTGTGGTTACGTAGCTGGTAATTATCCCAATAAATGTAAATTATACGAAAAAATAAATTTATTTATTTGATAAACGCAAAGACGATATACAGGGTGACTGGTGAATTACTATCAATATTTAAGGAGAATACTCGGTACATGATTCTCATTCGAATTATGTAAAAAAAATAGGTACTTACTTAATTTTTGACCAAATTTCCGTATAAATAAATAAAGTGTGGACACGTTCCAAGTGTTCCAAGTGTGGACGCGTGCGGCGGCGTGCTGATACAACACCACGCCGCCGCACGCGTGTGTGTGTGTGTGTGTATACCTAATCTGTAGGGTGTGCACACGATGCGTAATTAATTACATAACTTTTGGTTAACTTTACTTAGAAGTTTATTAGTATTTATGTTATATTAATTTTTATTTTGTCATATATGATCGTCAAATATCACGTCCTCAAGTATCGATAGTAATTCACCAGTCACCCTGTATATATTAATTAAAGATGAATTGATAAAATTATTTTATTTCATAATTTCTTTGGACAGTCCACAGATAGAATAAATGAATTATTTAAATGTAAATTGACATTTTTTTAGGTGCTGTTGGACCTTTTTGGTCACCCACGCTTTTTTCAACGCCTGCGTTTTTTCTTTCAGTTTGCAATAAAAAATACGCAATGAAGACAAAAGTCACACATCACATACAAACCATAATAGTTTCATTTTCAATGTTGTAGTAAACACTCTATTATTAAAGCGCCAAAAAAAGGGGAGAAAAAAATTGCTTTATGGTTTTCAAAAAAGATAAAACGTTTGTCTATTAACGCTTTTTACCGAATGCAGATTCAGTTATACCATTTTGTTAACCGAAATTATATACCTATAGTGAGTAGTCGAAGTCAGTGCTAGTGTTTAATAATAAACTGTTATAACATTTCAATTCTCAAACATTCATATTAAGCCGCGGTGTTCATACACATAATATAATCATTTAACTCTAGCGTTGTAAAAACAAGGCCATTACTTTACCGATAATATATCACATTAAATTTGAAAATACAAGCCATACATACATTTAACTTAAACATTATTAAGGCGGGAAATTACGTATAATCTACAAAAAAGATGTCGCGTACTTTTCGATTACATCCAAAACTTGTTCCATAGACAATATTAAACATTTCCCGCCATCCGAATTCGTCTATTGTTGCATTTTTATCGTTGTTACGAGATCAAAGTCATCATCGGCATTAACTGTAATATGTTTTGCCGTCGTCAGTTTAGGGGTCATCGACCTGGTTGAATAGCCAGCGTTCGGTAGGCATTACCTAACAGAACTAACTTGTGAATATACTGTATTTTGGATTGATAAAAGCTTATGAAACGAGAGACAAATATTGTTTTTGGGACGACGGAATGAATATCTTGCTTGTTAAAAAATAAAATGATTATGTGATTATTTTTATATTTATTTATTTTATTATTGATTTTTTTATATAAAAATGGAGTAAATACTAATTTAATTTTTTTTATCACTTATAAAAGGTTTTGGTTGACGGCATTATTTCTGTGTGCGAAAAAGTTAGTAAATTTGAGATGATAAGATTTTTTAAGATCAAATAGCTTACATTATTTGAACCCCACGCAGTTAAAAGAATCTTTTTTAGATTGTCGTCGTTTATATTTTTTGTTAAAACTATTCATTCTGATTTTAGCAAAAACGGTGAGTATTGAAATTACGAAATTAACGTGATGGATAAAATTTTTGGCAGATGACGTAATAGTATTCAGAACACAGATAATAATAAATCTGTTTATTCTACTTCACATTAGATTATATTCAGATTTTAAGATGTTTGTATTAAAATATATTATTAATTAATTTTTGTAATGACAGCATACATTTTATGTGGATTATATCGATCTTATGACCGGAAGCGGGACGGCAGATCGGCAGAAATAATTCAAGAGGTTTGTTTGACCTCGAAAAGTAATGGGAATTACTCGGTTTAATAATATTATACTTCACATGTAGGGAGACCAGTAGGAACCGTGAGAAGGGAGAATTTTATAGTGTACAAAAATAATTCCACAATAGAAAAATTTCATTGAGGAGTAATTGCGTCGGCTGAACGTATCGTTTTCAACGTCGGTATTTGGGGCAGCGTTGACGGAAGAGCAGACAAGATGTTCTATTTTATCCTAAACCAATTAACCGGTAGAAATCAACGAGGTGTAGGCGCTCAAGTGCACTCCGCGCTCGCTTTCGTTTTGCATTAGAGAAATCGGTTAAGTAAAATTTTCGCGGCACACTAATTCAAACATTTCAGGTCACCGAGAACAAACTGTAGTCAGGAAACGAGTAAAACGCATAACCTCTCCCTCGGTGCAGCGCCCGAAAATATGTGTTTAAATATAGAAACGAAAGAAAGTCGCGCAGACGGCATTGTTGTCGTATTAAAACTGTGTTACTTACCAGAATCTTGCGCGTGCGTATTGCGGGGGTCGTTGGCGGATTCGCGTTTTTTTTTTATTTCACTGAAAATATATTTGTTCGCGTCGCCTGTCGCTTGCGCAGATTCCGGTCGTGTGGCGCCCGCCCGGGCGGTGTGCCGACTGACGCCGCGCGCGCACCCATTGGCTGAACACCGCTCGAATGGCAGACACACGAAGCACTGTGCTTCAATGTGTGTCGTTTTCTTCACTCGCAGCAAGAAAACTCTTCACACTATACCTCGGTGCTATTAACTGAAAAACACTAGTGACTATTGAAGCAATGAATCAGTGTTTGCTCTACATCGGCGAAATTGCACGGTCGCTGCGTTTCCAACAGCGTGTTTCGGAATATTTAATATCGCCAGTGTTTTGTTTTGTATCTTAAAATGGCAACTGTTATTTTTAATACATGCAGTCAACGATAGATATGTTTTAAAGTATTTTTTAACGATTAGAAAATAAATACTTGGTTACTTACCAAGTGAAATAAAACGATAGAAACAAGATAAAAGAGACGTGGGAAATGTATCTAGTTGAATAGAGAGCCGAATGTTTTGCTGGCTCGAAATCATTTGCTAAAACATATTTTTTACATCCACCATTTTAACCATTTTTAATATAATCTTTATAAAGCTCTGTATATTACTGTAATATTATTTATTTGTCTTTATTTAGACCCTCGGTTTAAAGGAAAAACTATTTATTCATTATGAAGTTAGAACTATAGCCATTTTAACTCTTTAAACCTTTAATATACTCAAATACAATCGGACCATGGAGAGTGAAGTGAAGTGAATTAATTAGTGTTTCTAAATTTTAATATTTTTTTATTATTTGGATAAAATATATATGTATTTACTTTAGGTGTTATTTCATCTTTACGTTTTAATAATATATTTTTAATAAATATTAATTTTAATACTGAAATAATCGTAAGATCCTAACACGTATTATTAAATTGAATCACACATCTTTACAAACATACTTATATTTTTTTTTGGGCAAAACAAAATGAATTTAATCGTTAACGTAACAATATTTACACTTGGATATGACGTCTCACAATCAGTGCGAAAGTTTATTAGTAATAACATTTTTTATCGTAATGTCGTGTGAAGCCTTTTAACTTTCTTTCCGTAGCTTTGAAATTATAGCTGAAAATTAATGCACATGGATTTTTGTTCAAAAGAATTTTTTAAATTATTTCAGCCATTGTCAGATGTTTTCAAAAGTTTTAGAATGAAATAGATTTTTTTTCATTAAGTCTTAGAATGAAAAACAATCGGATGCAATAAAATTATTGCTTCGGTTTAACTTAGACACTAATCATAACTAACTTTTATTAATTTTTAAAATGTCGACACGTTATGTATTAAATATAAAATAAGGTTTAGATGTTCTTTTAAAAATATTTTTTTCTTATTTTATAATATATATTTTTTTTTAATAATTAGTAAATCTTTTTAATTTATTTAAAAATTGTCTCCAAGTTAACAAGTAAATAAAGGAGAAAGGTAACATGAATGATACTGATGAAAAATATTTATAGAGTAAGTAAAAATCTTTTTCTAACTGAAGAAAAAAGAGTCTCAATTTATTTTGCCAAAACCTTTTTTCATTTGATGACAACTCGTCTATATACAATCATATTTAATGTCTCAAACAATACTTTGATTTTTATTGCTTATACTTATATTTTGTGTAACAAATAATTTTAAGAGAATATATTTAAAAGTAATATATGAAAATGATTGTCAAGTTTTATTGAGGGAATAAACTGAATGAAGCTACGGATCGTGGGACGTCTTGAAAAATATGTTTTCTCACGTAGCATAAAAGAAATATGTTAACCAATGTATGTGTGGCTTTTATGAAAGTATTGTGTAAAAAAAATGTATTAAATAATTCCAAAATGTTATACTTATTAATAGATAATTATGACATTAGGTATGTATTAAGATTGGTATGTTTACCCCAAGTTTGTAGTACACAACATACGAAGCGATCCCCGTCTCAAATTCAATAACATTCATGATTTCGGTGTGAAGATCTATGAATGAAAAACTGGTAACACTCCGTGCGTTGTATGAGGATGAAAACTAGTGAGAAGTATAAGAAAATGAGCCTTTTAAGGACAAGAAACTAATGTACGTTAGGTATATGAAATTTTCATAGTATTGAGATTGCATTGCAACAGATTACACACATTACTTTAAATCTGCAAATTTTGGGTCATCTGTTCTATATATTCTACTTTATAAAAATAAGTCCGGTTTTCCTTCTTAACGCTATAACTCCAGAATTTCCACGGTTTCCACGGTTTTGCATTCGTTGGAAAGGTCTCGGGCTCCGTGATGTTTATAACAAAAAAATTCAGGAAACATTTCAACAGAAAAGCGGGAAAAATCTTTTTCCCATACAGCGCCATCTCTGATACATAACATGTATGTACTACAAATCAATATTTTAAGTAGATGGTGCCGGTGCATGATACATTGTTTGACAGCTACTCTTTGTTCTCTGCTCAGTTAATTTCATGTGAAAAACCGGTATTGTGTTTGTAGTTTGAACTCTTAAAACCATTTAGTATTTGCGGGATAAATTTAGAAAATCATTGTTTTTCACATGGGCAGTTATAGTTTGTGTGTTCACGAGTGGGAAACCATCCGCTTTATTTGTGTTAACGTTAGACCAAAAAACAAAATATGTGGTTTGCAAAAGAGCACTTCAATGAAACGAATAATTTGCGGACACGTATAACGCTTCGATTCAGTATCGACTTTGGATTCACTTTCATTTACTTAGAGAAGTTCAACTAAATAATACTTCATTTTTGTTATTGAAATGAATTCTTTACTGTTGTGAAATGAATTAAAAATTTTCCTTTTCTAATATAAAACAAAAAAAATTCTTCATCTTTTAATCACCAAACAAAATGTGACATAAAACATAGCCTTCTGGTGGCGAAACGGAGTTCGCCGGATTTACTAGTATATTTATATTTTTAATTTTGTAATTTGCAACTATGCAAGTATAACACAAGCATTTATAATTCAGTTTATATATGGAAGTTATTCAAAATGAAACACAGTTTCATACAATTTTTGTATATATTTTACAAGTTGAGAATCTTAGTACAATCAATAATAACTAACAAGTACAAAAGGAAAAAATCTTCCTTTTATGGATACACTATGAGATGAATCTCGTAGGGAATTTAAAACATTGTTACAATACTTACACAGACCATCTCATTGTTCGAGACAAACAAAAAAATTTTCTACTTAACTAAATACATATATAACATCTCATTATAATAATTATCAAACGGCTTTCAACTAAATTACACTCAAAACAAATCTGAATACAGGAAACCAGCCTATCGAATGATATTTACAAAAGGGTAATATAAGACTGTATTAACATGTTTTCAACTATTCAACTAACGGTACATATGGAATGATATTAAATACAATATATATATGTATATAACAAATAAATAATTAACTAAAACTTTCACTTTGGTGGTCCGTCTATTGAATATAAAAATATGTTATAATAGTATTACTCATATATACAATGACAAGGAACAATTGAAACTACATTGTAAGATTATTGATGTTCAAGCATATAACATTACTATTTATTTTTATCCCAAGCATTTTTTTATATTTTCTTTTTATGGTATACAGTTTTGTGCCAGTAATTCTTAAGTTTTTTTTATTACATACATTTTTATTTACTCCAAATATTTATTGAATCTAAACAAAACATAAGCTCACTCACTATGAATCCATTATGTATAAATGTCTTCATATTCTATACTATGCCGTATCACATTCAGATATCCCATTAATAGATGTGTTCAAACTATATGTGGATAGCAAATTATTAATAATTTGATCTGTAAAATGTATACCAAAATAAGGTCCAGTCTTATAAGTGTTTGAAAGGCAGTATGTAAAAGCAAAAATTTGTATATAATTAACACATTTATTAGATTAAATTTAAATATTTTATCACATTATACTAATAGCAAGCTAGAACATGTATTTTTTTTTCTTGTAAAAAACAGAATAGAGTTCATAAAATTAAATGGATTATAAGAATAACAATGTTTTAGAACTACAATGGCCTATTAAACATTTTGTTTTCACCAAAATGTAAAATTCTTTATACATAAAAACTAACAATTTCATCTACTAAATACAATATTAATCGAAACACTTATGAAACCCTCACATGCTATTAGAATAATGAAATAACTCGCATAACAAATAAGGTACAGACAGGTAAAGCCAAAATGACACTGTAGTCGCACTTTATACATTCACTGTCACAACACAACACATCTGTTCATTTATCCATCACATATGATCACTCATCATTAATGATCATTTATTATGATCACACTAGTGTTGTGAACCTCGTCCCTGTACTCATTAACCCGTGTGATCACTCCACTAGTGATCATTAGTCCTTATGATCCTCTCAGTACAGTGATCACTAGTCAATGACGATGACACTGTTGTTGGCCAACAGTCATTTATTCGGTGACGTCAGACCCAACGCCGCTGACAACAAGCGGACGACATTCTTTTGCTCCGTGGATTCGTTTTCTGTAATAAAATTTTATATATTAGAAACTTTTTTTTTTATTTGAACGGCACATCGACAGTACATACATTAAGCACTTAAAACTAAACATTTAAAACTGAACACTTAACTGATGTGTGTACCAATTATAGATGTAGGTACACAGCACTGCAAAAAATTACTGTCTAGCTTACAAAAATATTATAAAAAAATAAGTTAACAAAAGAAATTTCAATAACAAAACTATTAAGAAAAAAATACAAATGAAGAAGAAAGAATATCAAACAACAATCAAAATAAACAACTACAGCTAACTACTACTACTTATAGACATTATTACAAATAAAATCACATAAATTACTATAAATATATAGTTAAATATCCAATAATATTTGAGTATTTTTATGTTTATACTAACCATCAGCGCCAGTGACGTGTTTCTCCAAGTTAAGTTTCTCCTGAGCAACTTGATAGATGCCTTCTTCAATGGTGCCAGCGCTCAGCAAACGGTAGATAGTGACTGGACGAGTCTGACCCATCCTGTGACATCTGTGGGACATAATTTATTATGATGATATAAAAAATATATAAGAAAAATGTTACATACATTTAAAACATAGATTACCACGACAATTTTAATAAAAATATGTATGTTATTACTTTCTAAGGTTCAAAGTTTGTTTAATAGAAATGTTACAACAGATATCTATTCCAAATTTAACCAACTCAAATAAAATCTTACAGTAAAATGATTTATTATTAGAAGTTTACTTCCGTGCTTTACTATGTGCTTGGGAATTGACCCAGGTGTAGGTTTAAGTGGCCCCTTAACTAACGCGCGTTAAACGCTCACCTCCACTGTCCAAGCTCCTCTCCCTAACCTAATTTGAAACGAACTTACTAGGTCTACCTTCGTAGTACGTTCCAAAAATGAATTAAAGTTAGTTCTAGACACCAAGTCTCTTAGTAGGTTGTAGAGAGATATACCTGTTATATCCCTCTCACTCACTTCTACCGCGATATCATTTAATGAAATCTAAGATTTTCGCGAGTATTATTCATTTAAATGAAATTAATATTTTTCGGATATACTACGCGACTTTATTTTCGTAAAATCATACCGTCTGCCCGTGATCACGGTTGCTGAAAAGTAGCCGAAACGTTGGGAAAATGTAGTTTTTTACAAAAAAAATCACGTAGTATATCCGAAAAATATTAGTTTCATTTAAATGTATATTATTTACTGAACTATGTCTCTCACCTGTCTTCTGCCTGCTTGTCATTATATGGATTAAAGTCTATATCATGTATAATAACAGTGTCCGCTGCAGTCAGGTTGATGCCGAGTCCACCCGCCTTTGTGGACAACAGGAACACAAATATATCCTCGGAATTGTACTGATCAATTAGATCTTGTCTGTGTTGAAATAAAGAAAATAAATTAAAAAAGACACTTAAAAGATTAATGAGTTTTATTTTTATACCTACGTATAGTATAAATTTATTTTTTATCTAATAATAATGAAAAATTGTAATGTCGGTTAGTTACATTGTAGTATTAGAATATCAAATTCTTAATAAAAACTTATGGACTTTTTTTTAATCTGTCTATTTGTGCTTATCCTTACAAGTTTTTTACAAATTTTTACAGAGTTTATAAAGTAAAAATAAGTTTTATTTGATATCTGTTTTTTTTAATTTACTAATTAAAGAATTGCTGTCCATTTACAGTTAGTAATCCTACTATTATAATTGCGAAAGTTTGTGAGTGTGTGTGTGTATGTTTGTTACTTCTTCACGCTCAAACGGCTGAACCTATTTTGATAAAATTTTGTATACAGGAAGCTGACGTCCAGTAATAACACATAGGCTACTTTACATCCCGGAAATCCGCGGGTAACACCGCGGGGCGCAGCTAGGAGAATATAAATGTACCAACCTTTCATTGACTGCAGTGCTGCCATCTAGCCGCAGGTACCTATAGTTCCTCATTCTAAGGTAAGGCTCGATCACATCCAACATCATCGTGAACTGACTGAAGATGAGCACTCGATGACCTTCAGCTTGAAGTTGTGGCAGCATTGAATCTAACTTTTGGAACTTTCCGGAATCTTCTATTAAACTATCCGGCACTGCATATTGTCTAATACACTGAAATAAAATATTACCATACTCTTATGATTCATTTCATAACATATGCTTATAAAAAACTAAATAATAAACCAATAAGAACTCTTTGAATGACAATTGAAAGCATAAACAATGGTCTTTAGTGATCATAGGCATTTTTTTTCTTTTATAAGCTATAGTAATATGTGCTATAAAAAAATTATGACCATAATAACATAAAGTATAACTTAAAGTATCAATTAAAATAATAATTATTATACTGACAGAGTACTGTTGAGTGAGTTGATGTATTTGGAAGTCTGACATGCACATGAGATCTTCAAATAGATATTGTTCGTTCTTCTCCTTGTAGTCTGGGTCTCTCGCTAAACGGGCTGCCATCTTGCGTGTAGTGTGCTGATCGTAGTGATATCGCAGTAGTAGGGGATGATTGGCCAGTTTACGCATGTCCATCATCATTGATATGCCGCTTTGTTCCGTAGTTGCGTGGATCTGATGGTATAAAATTCAGGTATCTTTATATGTTGGTCGCTTATTAATATATGATATATTAGAATCTTTGTTACGAAACTAATGTATTTCGGATTTATTATTGTAAAAAACTACATACTCCCGACGTTTCGGTTACTTTTCTGATGTTGCTAAAGTACACAGGTAATCCGAAAAATATTAGTTTAATTTAAATATTAGTTTAATTTAAATACTCGCGAGTCTTAGATCTCATTAACTTTGTTACGGTTGGAATATAAGAAATGCAGAGTCTTTTCTCAAAAAAAAATTCTATTTGCTATTCTATAACGATTTCAGTTTCAAATGTATGGATTATGGCAAAGGTTGAGTAAAACAGTGAAGTTTTTGTATGAGCTTACTTAGATTATATATATAATAATAAATTAATATATTAAATATAACTCACTGTTCCATCTTTAGCCGCGAAACCGGCTATAAGTTCTTTATACTGTCTTTGTTGTTTTTCAGACATGGGACACAGTTCCGTGTGATTCGTCTTCTGAGGTAAATCTTGTAACACGTCACGTTTCAACCGACGCAGAACAAACGGTTTCATAATCCTCTTAGCTTGAGTTATCTGACTTTGTTCGAACGCTGGTACCTCGTCATCTGTGTTGCCATTTGTCTTTTTGGTTGTTTTTGCTTTCTGTAATTGTGTTTTATATATATAATATATTTATTATTTCAATACAAATATGCCATAAAGACAAAGACATTAAATTTAAAACTAATCAGTGTATTATGTATTAGTCATACTTTCTTGGTATTGTTGAAATAATATGATGTCATGTGTAATGTAGGTAGATTTTAATATTAGTTTCTAGCTACTTAGCACAATACATACATCATGACCAATTTGATATAGTTCTATTGGATACATTTAAATAAAATTCATATTAATTATTATTAATAATAAAGCATACTAACCGCGTTCTTCTGGAACAGATTCTTGAGATCATCAGTGTTCCCTGAGAACATGTGAGGCATTACGAAGCACAGTAGAGACATTAACTCCACCAGATTGTTCTGGAGAGGCGTCCCAGTCAGCAACAGGCGATGCTTAGACTGAAACATACAGAATGGTAGATGTAATGTTACTATTATTTAAAACAGTACTTCATAGCTTTAATAATAAAAAAAAAACTATAATTGAGCATTGGTAATATATTCTTGATTTTATTAATGGCAACATTATTGTTTACTATATGTAATGACCACATTTACGTAAAATGGAATTCGAATTCGTAAAACAATTTTTAATTATTACGATCTAGTTTTTCCTTAGAATCGTTCAAGTGTGTTGTAGTTTTCAAATTTATATTGAGAAACGATGAATCTCAGTTTTTAATAAAAAAATACAATTTTTCTTCTATCTTTACAATAAGGTTGCTTATACATTACAATAAAAGAGATTAAAATAAAGAAAAGTTTCAATTATTAAAATGAAAATTATTTATTCCTACCAATATTACAAATGCGAAAGTAACTCAGTCTGTCTGTCTGTTACGCTTCCACGCCTAAACCACTGAACTGATTTTAATTAAATTTGGTACAGAGATGGAGTTGACCTTGAGAAAGAACATAGGATAGTTTTTATCCCAGACTTTTGAAAGGTTCTCTTGGAAACGCGATATAACCGAACTGCACGCGTGCGAAGCTGCGGGCGGCAAGCTAGTATATAATATACCTTTATTTTAAGTAGATTATCATATCTCTGTGTGGACATGTTCTTGAGCATGTGAGCCTCGTCGTACACCACGTAGTGCATTGGTGTTATACGAAACATTTTACGTTCTTCAGGGCAACTGGACACCATTGTGTAACTGGAATATAAATATATACTTATTTATTATCGTTCTATAGTATATATAATATATGCACGCAATTATAACAGTAATGCCATAAATTAAATACTTCATATACATATTTCATTAACATATATAATTGAAAAACATAATTGTGATAATCTTAACTTTTAAATTAACCTAAGTGGCAGCAATATTTGCAAAAACTTTTTTATACAATTCTTAGTAATTATAATATAGCCTTATAAAACTTTAATCTTCACATCAGTTGATAGTCAAATACAGAATTATACGGTAGTTGGTTAATATATTCAATTCTTTTTGAGGTGGGAGAGTCTAGATGTGGTCAGTTACTATAGCTCGAACATGAGCTGGCTCAACAAGGGCAGTACCACACACTCATAGAAGATCTGCGTGAATAAGCATTTCATCCGATGAATGAGAGACGATTGGCTTTTCCTTATCCTTATTCTAACAGAAATGTTAAAGTCTATGGCAATGTTGACTACTGCTCATTAAATAGGTTATCTGTTTGTTTGTCACCTTTCTTAATAAAAACCTCTACTCACGTTGTAAGTACGATATCTATCTGATCCAATCCTCTAGAGTACTCTATCCTCAGCTGTCTCCTCTCCTCAGGGTTTCCATAGTACTTGCTAACTCTAAGTGAAGGGCACCACCTTGCCAACTCACTACTCCAATTATCTGAAATTTAATACATATAATTATACTTTTTAGCTAATACTTGAATTAACATTACATATTATGAAATATATTGTTCTGAGCGTTTATATTTTTAATTAAGAGAGCGTTCAAGTATTACGTAACAAAATTTTCGAATATTTGTGACCCCCTTGTAACGCACCGTTACGTTTTTCTGTTACCCCTCCCCTCTTCTCTAAACGTTATGTAACACTCAAGTGATCTATTTCATCCTAAAGTCGTAAAAAGTTATGTCATAGTTTGGTATAGTTTTAATCTATTAAATGAATAAAGGGATTATATTAGTCATCTAGACATAACGTATGTAACGTATATGAAAAGGGTTGCCAGTTTGGGGGTTTTATTAGGGGTAAAAATTAAAAAATAGGTTTTTAATGATCTGAAAAGTCTTCAGTGTTTGAATATAAAAGTGATGTTGAGATTATAATAGAATTATAATTCAAACAGATATGTAATATAACTTGCTGAATATTGTTTTAAATCAACTCTAAATAATATTAACTGCATTGTGGGTGCCATTAAATTTAATTTAGTGACACTTATTTCAATACACATGAAATTCTCTCTAGTACTGTCATGAACTCAATTATTATTTAATCACTCACCTAATGTACTAGCGGGTACAACAATCAAATGTGTTCCCCGAGCCTGGCCCGTTTCCTTCAAGTGTGCTAGAAATGCTATAACTTGTACTGTTTTTCCGAGACCCATTTCATCAGCCAGTATACCTGATACTCCTTGTTTATGAAGAACAGCCAACCAGTTCAAACCTACTAGCTGATATGGTGCCAACTTCAAACTGGAAATATATATTTAAAAAAATTAAAACAACTCTTATTAAACTTAAGAAGTTGGTATTAAAAACTACAAAAAGATGTTTGATTACATAAGATTTTAATTTACTATATGTTATGTCTAAATAATCTATCCTATTGTTGAATATAATTTGTTCCTTAATGTAAAGATGATAGTAAAAGCTATTTCAGACATGATTTTTTAATGCTACTCCTAAATGTAATAGAGTAATTATGTCATATTTTATTAGAATTATGAAATTTATAAATTCATACATCACAGTAATTTTCAATTTTATTAATAAAAGGATATATCGTCTGGGATAGTGCAAATCCGCGTAACTACCATTGCACTACCATTAACTTAGAAGTTGTTAATTTAGAAATCGTTTCAGCTTAAACTTTCTTCTAATAATCTGCTTCCAATGTAGTTATGTGGAATAATGCAATGGTAGTTACACGGATTTTGCACTATCCCTGACAATATGTAAAATGACCATTCAATAATTGCTGACTATGGCAGTTTATATGTAATTATTTTAGACCTAAAATAAAAAATCTTAAATTTTATTCAATACCTAGAGTCTAGTATTCCAGGTTGTTTCAACCTCCCAGCCCCAGCGGCCACTGCGGACTCCAACTGTTGTGCGAGCCCCACACACTTCTTCATCAAACGCTGTATATTATTCCTAGTGCTTAGTAACTCTTGTGTAGAATTTAACAGATCCGTGCTCAACATCTTGTTGTTATTGAATTTTTCCACCTGTTATTTTATATTGATTAACAATATATTCTTGTTTAACTTTGAAATATATGTTGTAAATAATAAATAAGTTTTATATACCATATCAACCCAGCCTTTAAAAGGTCTTTGGGCCATGATAGCTTCCGCCTTCTTCTGAGAACAGCCACTTAGTAAAGACAATTCATTCATACTGCTTGTGTTAAGGAACTCAAATACTTTTCGTTTATCACCTACAAGATCATCTGTCACTTCATTGTCGGAATCCTCACTAGAAACAAAACAATCATATTAAAAAGAAATTAGCATCATATAAACATTATTAATACTTCTATATAGATATATTAGACAGTTAACTGTTAAAATGAAGTTTCCAAAGTTCATATTTACAATCTTATTAGCTTGTAAATAATTATTAATATACCTGTCATATACTCTATCGTCTTTCCCCTTTCTAACTCCGTAATCATCATCTTCACTGCCGCTACTACCTCGTCTCGCCCTCCCACCTTTAGCAGCCAATGGTTTTCTAACTCCCACACTGGGCCCGCTGGTAACTCTGACTATCATACCATTGGTTCTCGGTAACTGTCCAGAAAATCCCGGACGGGAAGCAAAGAATGTGGATGATGAAGCTCTGTCATTACTCTCTGGATCGTGCTTGAGGAGCTCATCACGAGATCTCTCTTCATTCCAAGCATGTTTCACTAAAGTGTTCTTTACAAACTGTCAAATGAATAGAAATTTTTATGACTTTTCATTCATAAAATCATGTTTTTTCATTGTTTCACACATCATAAATATATTTTTTAAACATAGTAGCAATCTAAGCCTTTGGAAATATATGGGTATCTCTTACAATCATATGTTCAAGAGAAACTAATGTAAATACTTATATACAATTTTATTTTAAAATAACCACCAATGCTTACTAGTGGAGATATATCAGGGAACATTTCTAGCATGTTCCGGAACCTTCTTTCTTTGACTGCTGTTGTTAGTTCCACCACAACCTTCTTAGCCGGTGATGGGTTGTCATCTGAATCAGAATCTTGGATTCTAATTCTTTTATATACTATAGGTCCATTTCTATTTGCTGTGCTTGGTGCTGGCATACGAATTTGTGATGCTGAAGTTAATGAAACAAGTTTTTATTATTTTTTTTATTCGAAATCCATGTATTTGAGATATAATTAAAATTCTTTCAGTGAGAAACTCGTAGTTAGAATTAAACATCATAAGCGAAATAATGAAAATTTATAGAATGGCATGTTGCATACAGAATTACATTAAGAACATAAAGTCCTATCATATATTTCTTACACATATTAACAGTTATTATAGTCGAGTAGAAAAAATCGCTTTGGTTAGCAATTTTATTTAATTTAAACGCATCATGCAATATATAGTTTGTATCTCGAAACCAAATATCTGTATTAAAATGAACAAGAGTATAAGATTTCTTTACACGAAAAGAAACATGATATACTGAATACTTTAAACTGCTCAGGTTCTATAGTGGACTGTTATTTTTTTTATGAGAAATTATGCAATATTTAGTTCAGCTATTCCAATCATAATAGTCGTTTAAACGAACAAAAATTCCACAGCACATTACAATTGAAATACAACCCTAATATACTTAAGGTGTTTCAATATATTTATAAATAACGTCTAACGGTAGATAAAAACATTTATCAAATTGCGATAATGGTAATTCGGTTGAAACCCGGTACAGCAAAAACGGAAACCTTGAAACGTGACGAGACGGGATTCGATAAACGTGGTCGAAGCTATACTGTGTCAAGTACACGTGTTAATAACGTGCCCTACTAGTGCTTAATTGACCAGAAATATTACTTACGAGAGCCAGATGATGATGCTGAAACAGTAACAACCCCGCTAGAACCTGGGGTAGGTTTCTTTTGAAATCTATATTGTCTTAGATAACTTAATACACTAGGACTCGTACTCTCAGACATCGCAATGAGATATGATTAATAATGATCTGCCCGAAAATTGTTCTTTTAATGTATATATATTTTTTTTATTTAAGTAAAATTAAGATTGCGAAAACCTCATACCACACCATTCAAACACGAAGACAACACTGCGGCCATTTTTATCCGCGAGACCAATAAAAATGTATTGGCCAATGACACTGGTTTAATTTTGACAGCTGATTAAAATAACCAATAATGATTTTCTAATGCTAATTATAAATTAAAAAAAGTTCATTTTTTTTAATGAGAATTAAAATTAATTTAATTTCATCATATATATATTGAAAAATTAAAAATACTGGTGACGTATATAAGTTCACAATTTAATTGTAATCATTTTATTTTATAAATTAAAAAACATACGATATAAAATTCTGATATACTAACTTCGTTTCTTTTAAAATACTCTTTTTATTACTTTTATATAAAAGTTGATATCAAATTATATGACAAACAAATCAAAATGTAGAATTTCCACATTATTAAGAAGAATGTATACTCTTCTTATTTCATTAGTAGATACAAGAGCATTATTACAGTTCATTAAAAGTTCGACTTAACTTATTATTAATATAATTCGAACCCATTTTACTTGAAATTTTTTCGGTATTCTACTACATAAAAGTACTAGTTATACTCATTAGTTTGTTCAGTTATCTTTTTTAATTCTTTGGATTTTTTTCAGATATCTGTTGAACAACAATGTATAATGTAGTGTCAAAGTCATTACTGCCACACAGTTTTTGGCTGTCAGATTAATAGGCGCGGCCATGTTGGTCTGTAGTGAATAAAATCAAGATAATTTGCTTTTAGGGAAATAAAATTGACACAATATGCCCAAATGCGACCTTAAAACGAGATACATCCCCGCGACATTCGCCTGGACTTTACTTTTGGGCACAACGTCTCTGTTTTTTTATTTTCCGTAAGTATACATAATGTCGATTAGGTCCGAATACACTTCGATTTGACAACTTTCACATAAGATTGTAAATTTACTTTTCTATTTTTATCACCCGATTACCTTTGCTCTATTTGTCTTATTATGTTCAATATTTCCTGTTATTGTTTTTAAGCTGTGATCAAAATCATCCATCCGTCGCGGTCACTCGGTAATTATTTACCCGACCAAATAAATCATTCGTGTTGGAATATTCATTGTAATACTTGATTTGTTTCTATCAGTAAATATTAAGGCTGTGACCATTTTCGTGTAAACAAATAAAATGACTCAACAACGTGAATAATATGTTTCATACACTTTGTCACAGACCATATATCCTTCATAAGATGATAGCAAAGAGCTGTACTTAACATATAACTAATGAAAATCTTTGCGAAATAAGAATTTAGAAGTGTATGAAAAATTTATATCTTATAAAATAATAAATAATATTAATTATTCTTTATGAATATTGTTAGTTTTTAAGTTAAATAAAATTATTATTATTATGTATATTTGAAATTCTTAAATTTACATTATATTATAAGTTTCATTGGATTACCTGTTTAAATAAATAATTGGCTTATATGAAGTAATAATAAAATTTATTAGTAAGTGCCATATTAAATAGTCTTATAGAAATTGTACCTATTGTTATATATGTAAATTATTTTTTTCCAGTTGTCAGTATTATCTTCACAAACACCCATGGGTCCCAGCATACCAAGGTGTTATCACGTTTTTTGTTTTGGCCAATTTTACACTGGCCACTTTCATGGACCCGGGAGTGATACCAAAAGGCAAGTTATCATTATTAACTATGACATATAAAATATTATTACACTACTAAATAAGTATATACATATATGTATTTACAACATAATAAAAAGATCTTGAGATTTTATATTGATCATAAATTTAATTACTACATGTTTTTTCTTATTAGTGTATTCTTGTTTTAAATTAATAAATAATGCATAAATTTTAAGCAATTTCTCTACTGTTTTTTTTAACTAAAATCTTCTAAAAACATAAATTTTTTTTGTTGCATCAAAATTGTATGAGATTTTCAAATAATGATGTCAAAACCAATAATTTTTCCATTAAATATGTTTGATATATTTGCTTTGGTGATTGCTACTTATAAATACATATTGTTCAATATGAGATAATTTTATTTTTGTACTTGCATTAATCTTAATTTGATATTATATAACACTGGCAGGTTTAATTTTGATGGGCATTATAATCATTGTTTATCATGATAAAAAGAACATTATGTCTATGATAATTTTTACTGCTATATAATATTTATTTTATACAATCCATAATATTAATGACACAATACAATGTACTGGTTGTTACAATTATAGTTTTGATGGCTTTCGTGTGTTATAAAGTGCATTACACGTATTTTTTTGTTACAATGTTTCAGTCAATTCTCTTTAGTGCCTATTAAAATGAAGCGACCTATTTCTAGCGTAATTACGTCTGCAATATGCACGGCGATTGAAACATGTTGGCAAAAAAAGAAAAACGTATTTGACGTTCACGCGTCGACAGAAACAATTAACTGTCAAATCAATTAACAGTTGTCAAAAAAAAGTCCTAAAATAGTATTAATTAAATATCACTGAATGTTATTTTGCAGCTTAATACCAATTAAAGGCTTGAAACATGCGTGCCGAACATGTTTTTAATTAATTTGTTTTGCCTTAAATTTTTATTATGAGAAAAATTTCTTCTCACGATATTCTTACCCACCACTTTAATAGCAGCTAAATATTCTTTCTTTCATATCTAAAAGAACTGTGCAAATATCGGCAGATAAATATGTAGTTGGCGTGTTTAGTAACTATTTTTAATGGTCATATAAATTGTACAAACGAAGCAGGTAATAAATTAAAAATTAATGATTACTAGCTTATAATTAACAGGAAAATGAGATTTATTCTAAAATAATATTTATGGTGTTGTTAATAAAGTATAATTTCGTATACACATGTATTAATAATAATTTATGTGCTTTCAGCTCCACCTGACGAGGATAGGGAGGATGATTTCCGCGCTCCACTGTACCGGAGTGTGGAGATCAATGGGATTACAGTCAGGATGAAGTGGTGCGTCACATGCAAGTTCTACAGACCGCCGCGGTGCAGCCACTGTTCGGTCTGCAACCACTGTATAGAGGTAATACAATGAGACGAAACCTCTCAGCACTCAATGTATTCACCGTGTTAGTACCAGGTCCATTGTTGTAGTGAGAGGAGCTTCAACAGTGGCTGGGACTTGCGACCCAGGTGTAGGTTTGAGAACCTTATCTAATGCGCGTTAAACGCTCACCTCCACTGTCCAAGCTCCTCTCTCTACCTAACCAAAATTGAAAAGAACCTACTAGGGCTGCCTTCTACTGAATAGAGGTAATAAATCTTGTGTCAACTGTACATACATCTGTGTAGATAACCATCTGTGCAGTTAGCTTTTAGTAGGTTTATGCGGAGGCCAACAAAACAAGATACATTTTATACATAAAGAAATTGTATTGAAGTATGATACAGTGTCATATCTATGCCTTGAACATATTACGTAGTACTAGTTGTTTTATAATTTTTTTTTTACTATTTGCACTTAATTTAATGTTGACAATATTATTTTTTTCGTGTTCAAGGAACAATGAAAATAGTTCTATTCAAAATTGTCTCATCATTGTCACTGTATTATTATAAAAAATGTTGTTTTAAAACTTTCATAATAAAGAGTTTTTATCTAGTGACAGTATTTCACAGATATACATAGATTTTATTTGTTTATGTTTACTCTGTGGTATAATTTTTAATCTAGTGATGTACCTGACATGTTTCCAGACATTCGACCACCACTGCCCGTGGGTGAACAACTGTATCGGTCGTCGTAACTACCGATTCTTCTTCTTCTTCCTAATCTCCCTATCAATACATATGCTGAGTATATTCGGCCTCAGTCTATATTACATCATGAACAACAACAAGACGTTGACGGAGGTCGAGCCTATTGTGTCGTATCCTTTGTAATAATTATCATAGCTTTCTTAGATGAGGCTGTGAGTAAGTAGTTGTAAGTTTCAAGAATAATAGGCAAATGTTGACTAGTTTATACATCCCTATACTAATATTATAAATGCGAAAGTTACTCTGTCTGTCTGTTACGCTTTCACGCCAAAACCACTGAATTGATTTTAATGATTTTAGTACAGAGATAGAGTTGACCTTGAGAAAGAACAAAATAGTTTTTATCCCAGACTTTTGAAAGGTTTTCTTGAAAACGCTATATAACCGAACCCCAGGCGAGCGAAGCTGCGGGCGGAAAGCTAGTTATAAATATAAAGGTCGTCTGAACATTTTTTTAAGTAAGTATATTTGACACTGTCAATTATAATGTAACCTTTACATATATTCCTGAACGTAATCAGAATGGTAATAATGGGTATAATCGCGCTGCTCGCGATTCCCATATTCGGTTTGACGGGTTTCCACATGGTGTTAGTGTCCCGAGGTCGCACCACCAACGAACAGGTGACCGGCAAGTTCACTGGGGGTTACAACCCCTTCTCTAAGGGCTGCTGGTATAACTGCTGTTATACGCAGTTCGGACCGCAGTATCCTAGGTTAGTTAAAATATGGTGACTTCAGAACATAAATAGAATGATATAATCAAATAGTTTAATCGTAAATTCTAAATTCAATCATACAATTTTTAGAGTTTCTTGACAGTTCTATCAAATCGTATAGTTTTTTTCAATTATTTTGTAGGTGTGGTGACTTCAGAACAAAAATGTCTTTATTTAAGCCTATAGAATGATATAACCAAACATTTTAATAATAAATTCTAAATTTAATCATAAAATTTTTAGAGTTTCTTGACAGTTCTATCAAATCGTATAGTTTTTTTTTATATTTTTTATGTATTGTAAAATAAATGTTATATATTAATCGATAGGTTCATAAACAGACGCATTGAAATTGATGTTCGATGAGATCTGCAAGAAACTCGGCAAGTCAATAAATAATACTACGATGTAGCTAACAGATTTATATCATATTATAGTAAAGAGCAGTTAATATTTTTTAAGTAGTCGTTGATATTATTAAAAACTTACATTTAGAATAAACTTTAAATAATATTTTCCTCTACTATCAATATTATTAATGATGTCGTTTAATACATTCCAGCTTGGTCCGTCCCTCAAAGTACATATACAAGGGCGGCAAGAAACGTCGGGAGGGCACGGCTATATCGACGATAGCGTCGGATGCGCACGCGCACGCCCACGCACACACGCACGCGCAGGTAAAGACGTACACCGCGGACAATGGAGCCGCTCACCGGCCGCTCGGGGCGCACGCACATTACAACAAGGTGAGGGCCAGACTGCACTTGGTGTACTGTCTAGATGTATATATATGTTTAGAAACCTCTATTACTACTTAGGTGACCACATACATAGGCCATCAATGGCATATGTATATGTGTGTGTAGAGATATATGTGAGATTATATATCAACATACACAGACTATCACATATAGCTGTGATTGTGTGTGGGATTTATAATTTATATATCTCACATGTAGCAAAATCCTTAATATAGCTAGAAGTGTTTGACATATGAGTATGTTATACCAACAAATAATAAACTAGTTTTATGGCTACATCACATATTGTCCTTGTATGACCAACTGTGAAAATAGACCTGAGACATGTACTATATATAAATACTAGTTTTTGCCCGCGACTTCGTCCGCGTTAGTTTGGTCAAGAGTGATATACATATGTAGGTATAGCTGACCAGGCGAACTCTATTCCGTCTTAGAGGCCATAAATAATCAGGTTTTTCCTGTTTCAATCAAACAGAATGATTGACATATTAGTTACTTGTCAAGTCTAATGCCAAAAAATCGTTTGTATGGGAAATAAAAAAGGGCTGTTTTTAGGGTTTTCCCGGCAATTATTCCAATTTTTCTCACCTTTTAAACTTTCCCTGGACTTCCAGGAGTATTTCAAGACTAAAATTAGCCAAATCGGTTCAGTCGTTCTCGAGTTTTAGCGAGACTAAGGAACAGCAATCCATTTTTATATATATAGAAGATATACATTTCATTATTTAAAAACTAATCTGACTAAATATTAATCTATATATTTTAACAACTATTGATGATCATGAATATTTGTGTGTTAGTTATATGCACTCTACAGAATTTCATTAGTTTGCACTCTTGTGGTGTATTTTTATATGTAGATTTAATTAGATATTAACTTCCATCAGTTACAAATGATAAAAAATTAACTATCTGTTTGATTATATATTTAACAAACTTGAAATAATGTACATATACATTATCTTGTTTCTTTCTTCCTAAATACATAGTTTTCTTACCTAAAGTATCTGTTTATGCCATTTAGATAATCATTTAGCTATCATGCTTCTAGAGCAATCACATACCTTCAATTCACTGAAATAAATTTGCATTTAAATTAAATAATTATGATTTAAAAATGGATATATTTTTTTCTATGTGAATTGAAGACATGGTATGTCTGGCTCTCTACTTAATAATATTAAGTACTTTTTATTGATCTTAATCTATATTAATGATGACAAATGTTTCTAGTTATTTGCTGAACTTAACTACATTGAGAAAAACACTGTATATAAAATAAAGACATAATAAGTAATAAAATAACATAAATTAAATTATATTTGGTTAATATACTACACTGCTTTGAGTTTCACTGCTTATTTGGAATATATAGGGAAAAAATTGTAAATAAATTGAAAGATAATGCGTTTAATTCATATTGCAGCAAGTAAATACCTTTTCCATGTTAATTTTATCAATACATTAACAAGGGAGGTATTTTTTGTTGCCAACATAAGAATATTTTATTAATTATATTTTTTTTTTCTTCCATAACAATACACTTTGACTTTAATTCAATAACAATACTCACGGTTACCATTTTGGTACATTTGTAGATAATTTTCTTATTTTATTCAATTATATGTACACATTCCATTCTAGTACTTTGAAAAATATAATTGTCATTGTGAACAATAATTCTGCATGTAAAATAAACATGTAAATTTTTATAATGCAATAAATAGTATATATATTGTAATATTGTTATCTATCCATGTTCTAACATAACGTGAGATGTTTAACTCCTATAATCAGCTATCTCCTGGCCGTGAGGAACATGAGCCTGAAATGGAAGGTCCGGGTGCTTCTCAATCAGCGGACTGCGAGCCGACGCCTCCGCCCCTACAACGACGGGGCTCCGCCGCTAACCTGTTCCCGCCTGAACATCACCTCCCTCCACGACCCATGCACTACCCGCGGCTAAGTCCACTATCAAGGAATACCAGGTTTTAACTATATTTAATATATGAAATATCTCTTTTATATCCTTACTAGCTGTGCCCCGCGGATTTTCGGGATTTCCGGGATGTAAAGTAGCCTATATGATATTCCTAAACGTCAGCTTCATGTATACAAAATTTTATCAAAATCGGTCCAGCCGTTTGATCGTGAAGAAGTAACAAACATACACACCGTTCAGAAATTTTCGCGATTATAATATTAGTAGGATTTGAGGTGATTGATGTCTGTTCCTTGGAACTGATCCGATGATGTTTGTCTGGGATTTAAAATTCTATTAGTATTAGAAATATGTAATTTATGGATGTTTGGGACTTTATTGCACTTTCAAGCTGAAAGTACTGAACGAATTTTGATGAAAATTTCTAATGATGCAGCTTTAACATATAATATGTTATATTTAGGTCATAATTTATTAAAAATTGCCTTTAACTCTAAAAAGGACACAGCATAAAAGTTCAATGTTGTATTTATACTTTATGTATTTATATGATCCATATTTATATGGGTCCCATACAAAAGATAAAGCTACCAGTGTCACCATATCTTATTAATTGTTCTCTAAACACAACACTGAAATACACTAGATTAAGTTTCATGATGGGGCTTTTATTTACAATTTCATTAATATTAAAATAACTTGTGATCGTTTCAGTCACGGCACCACCACATCCGGCTACCGAGTGGTGATGGAGCCGATGCGGTACGAAACGAACGGGTCGCGACCGTCACCCACCATGCAACAACGGATCAAGGCGTTGGGTGTGCCCACACCGCTGGCAGTCAGCAGCCCTGTCAGGAGGTAAGACGGGAATAATACAGACATACATACATACATGTAAAATATAATCGATACTCGAATGTCGGGTATCTACATCTCTAACCTGATATCAGCTTAATATTGCCACAGTTTATTTTGTTTATTTTTTATGTTATATTGGTGTAATTGGCGACCTCGACCGTGATCGTTATTAGGTAATGAAGGCCACATCCCATTGACCACTAAATGTCTTCGGTAACTAAATTCCTCGTCCACCGAGCATCGCTTTTTTATGTTCTCTATATGAATATTAGTTTTTGATTTGCATGTAAAATGTTTTGCATCACATTGTCTTTTGTTTATGGTAACATTGTCACGCCCTTCAGACCTGGCTATTCATTGCGGCTTCGGTAGCTATTTCTGGAGGTATTGGTTAATATCGCTTCATTGATGTTAGATATGAACCGTTATAAATTTAATACACATATATTAAAAACTAGAAAAAATCATAATAGACAATAATTTTTTTACATTAATATAATTAATACATTAGATGACTTTGAAGAAATTAAATTTGTAACGGTCATTACCATTATTGATGTGGTGTTTACATTTGACTTTATCTACTGATTTATTCATTTGTTTAAAAAAACCTCCTTATTTACTTGTGGATTTGTTTGAACCTAAAATCAAATGTATACACTATATCTTTATTATCTGTCATCTGGTTAAACACTTATGGGAGGTATATAACAAGCTTTATATGTAATTTCCCCTTATTTTAATGTTTGGCTCAAAAATACACTAAACTTAATATATTTAAAATCAAACTAATAAAATCTATATGTTATAAAAATATTCTCATATTTATAACACTGAATAGTAAAAATTATATGCGACCACAGAAATAAAATCAAATGAACACATTTTTCAAATATTTGTTTTAACATTTTATGTAATATTTTTTTTTACACAAAAATCCATTATGTTTTTTTACCATTACTCACCTATTTAATTATAGTCCCATGCATAGTCCAATATTTAATACATTATATATATTATATATTTATGTTTGTGGTCGTTATAAATAAATTGTATTTACCGCTTTTACGCGGCAGATGGACCTAACGCATAAAGCCAACGTGTCGACGGTAAATTATGTTTTTATTGTGTGTGTGTGAGTGTGCGTGTGTGTGTGTGTTGGTGGAATTAGTTTAATTTATAGCTAATTTTTTTTCTAGCTTGTTGCGAAACTAGATTTGAGTTTAACTTAGTTGTTAGTAAATAAATTTTGAAAATTTAAATATTATATAACTAGTTGATTTCTATCTTTATTTTCTTATCTATTTAACATTTGTGGTTTTTAATGAGTAGATATAACAATCATGTATAACGTAGCTGTGATTTCATTGTAAAGGATATAAATCAACATCATTGGCCATTTATTTAATAATTTCTTACTTATCTTTTCATTGGTCATTTAATTTTTTTTTATTTCCACCAACTCGCATTATTAAATATTTATTTGTATATGCATGCACGAGTGCTGCCATCTAGCAATGAATACTGAGTTTGTAATCAATGTAATGCATGTCTTATAGGGTGGTTAAATTCGATTTTGCATGCATGGTTTTTTTTATGAATAAAATTTTAAACTTAAATTTATGAAAGACACCATTTTCTCCAATGAAATTTGTTTCAAGAGTATTTTGTTTTATCATCCATCGCTTATTCACCTGTACATCACATTGATCATGTACCGCTATATATTTTATGACGCGTCTTAAGAGAGTCATGTTGCCTTTGGTTTATAATGAATACACTATTGATATGTTGATATTAATAAACATTATAATTTCTTATTTGCAAGCTGTTGCTCCAATACGGAGGTCGGCCGGACTTATACAATGGCTGGTTTACACTACCATCGAATCTCTATGGCACGTTTGTGACCATAGACTATGGGGTAAAGGGCACTTCTACACCCTATCACACAGTTTATTATATTTAATTAATTACGGGCATGGTTTAAACGTTTATGCTTTATATATTTGGAGTTGTTTCGATTTTTATAACAATCCTCTCAAAATCAGAGGATATTTTTTTTATCTCGGATTTAGTCCACCGGTTTTCTAACGGACTCTCTATCTGTCTTAACTTTTATTTATTTCATCTCTCACACTATGTATTCTTGAACACCAGCCATTTATATTTTCGTCTATCTCCATCTCTCTCACACCTTCTCGCTTTCTATATCCTGTCGATGACCTGAAACTTAATTTTACATTAACATGAAGACTTGATACACCGCAACTTACGTTTCGGATGTCCGTCTTGGGGTACGTTTATGAATAATTTTAATTAAATTAAACGATGTAACAGTTGTCTGTTATCTCGACCAGGATATACATAGCGTCAAGACGATAGGCTTGTAGTGGTTTGTGCGTGTAGTGTACAGTCGGCATGGACCCAGCATGCTCCCACCGACGGCCGGCCCGACGTGAGGACGCGCTCCTCGGAGCACGGTTTAACAAGGTCGCGTGTCAGTAGAGGGCGCGCGAGGTTGTTCAGCCGCCGGGAGCGGGTCGGGTCGCTTCTCCCCGCAGCTCCTTATCCTTCTGTCCGTAGGCCGTACGATAACGATAGCGAGCGCTCGGACGAGCTCGCGCGATTAAACCCCTGACGTGAGCGCCCGCCCCGCGCACAGGTCCAACCCCGGCACGCCCACCCAGCCGCGCCGCCCGGACTTCATCGGGGTGCGGGGCTCGCCGCAGAGGAGGTTCCTCTCCGAGGGCGAGCTGCTGAGGGACGAGCCGGCCGCCGCCACCCCCGCGCCCCCCGCGCCGCACCCCGCGCCGCACGACGTCCGCGAGCTGGCCGCCAGCCCGCAGCGCGGCACGTACCTGTGGGCGGAGAGGTCGCCGCACAGCCGCCGCCGCCGGCCGGCGCCGCCCGCGCGCCCGCTGTCCTTCGTGCGCGCGCTGGAGGTGCAGGACCGGCTGGAGCGCGCGCCGCCCGCCGCGCCGCCCGACCGCGCCTCCGTCTACGACTGCAACTACGAGATCTCCGTCTGACCGCCAGCCTCTGACTCCCTATTCAACAGATAGGCCAGTTTAGGACCGCGCCCCGACGCACAAGCCCGGCGCCCCGCTGTCCTGTACATAGACCTCCCTCCCCCGCCCCCCAAGTGTTGTGATGACTTTGTAATATTACATGATCTACATAGAGACTGGAATTGAGTCGTTCCGTGAGTCTCGGTCGCTGGTGCAGGTGTTCCATGTGCGGCGGGTGCAGGTGTCGCGCCCCGTACAGTCCACCCGTAAGGTTGAGTCGTGCCAAATGTTCCGTAGCGTGTGTGATGCGAGTCGTTCTGTGTGGTCTGCCAGCGAGCTCATGATGATTGTATGATTCTTACGAACGACTATGATATATAGAATTTAATAGACGCATTTTTGATATATAAGTATAGTTTAAGCGAATGGAAAATAATAATAATATTTGAATGACGTACAATATGATATAAATGTAACAATATACATAACAAAGTCGTATACCAAATAACACATATTTTCATAAATTACATAGAAAACATAATTCTGACATGAACAATAGTTGATATGTAACGAGTAAGTCTTATTGTAATTGTATTTATATTTTGACTGTGAAATAGCTAGGAGGAAGGTAGATAGGTTTAATGGCGGAAGGATTGATTCATATTAAAAATAATTGTATGATGGTGTGAGGAAAATAAATTGACATACTCACTTTATAACAATACATTACCATTAGAAAAAAAAAAATTAAATACCTATACATTAAAATGTTGAACCCAGATCTCGACACCGAATTCAATATATTTGAAGTACTTAGAATTTTTTGTTAAATAATATTGAACCAGAGTGAAATATTTCCAATGAAAAAAATAAAAATCTAAATTGTTTTGAGGGTCTTCACACTGACGTAAAAAAAACGATTCCGTAAATCCGTCAGTGTGTAAGAACCCTTATAGTTTTATTTAAAGACTGGCAATATGTATATCGGTTACAGCAAATGAATCTGAAAATCATCTCGAAATTTCGATATCACAGAGACATAATATTTTCCTTATCGAAGTTTCGAGAAGATTTTGTAATTACAGCCGTTGATGATGTCCAATAGCAAAAAAATATATATAGTGAAGGTTGAAGTTCTTCACGGAAGTGTTTTGTATATAAGATATTTATTGCATCTTACAGTCATTGCTTAGCGGATAGTTTTATTCTGACTATAGATTCGTTGTTTTATTTCTCGTCGTCCACTGTACATATGTTTGTCGTTTTTGTACAATATTAGTGTATGTTGAATGTGTAACTTGCGTGCGTGTCTGTACAGTTACGTTAAGGCCAAGTGTATATAGTTTGTTGTAAGTCAGTGTAAAGGATGTTATAATGTTGTATCTCTTTCTGTTCGTCAATTTCTTTCCTATTACGGACATATCAGTAGTTTCTTCGAGGACGGCTGTTTTATTGTTGATAATTATTTAATTATTACATTTCTTATTCCCCTTAAATCATTAGCATTTTTTTTCTATTAAACCGTCCTAAGGCCTAAGTTAGAAATATCCCTTGTTTTTTTTTCGTTTTTCATATAAGAATAATTTGTAATTATTTAATTTCGGTTCTCAACTCTGAATCTACTCTCGTATGATATATTATCACAATGATGACTTTGTAAAATTCAATATAAATATTTGAAATATGAAAAACATTTCTTTACTCACATTCCGATTACCAAGACTTCTTCCTCGTGCGTACTTAACGCATTACGTCTAAGAGCCGTCGACGTTCAGTATTAAATTTTATATATTTTTCTTTTATATATAACTATTTATATTATTTATTTTATCATGGACGCCAAACGCCGTCGGCTCTTAGACTACGACAAGGGTATATCCATCAGCTAGTCTAATAATGAACGCGTGAAAGTTAAGTAAACAATCAAATGTATATATAGTGTATAGATTTTGTTTTGTGCAATGTATACAATAATTGAGAAGGTTGGATTTTGAATATTCAATGATCGCTGTATCGTTTAAGTATCGTTAAGAGTTACAAAGGTAGTGTTAGTGTTCCGGCATTAGGATAGCTCAAAACGTGAGGCGGGACGGCGACGGTTGTATAAATTATAGAAAAAAATCCACACATATAAAAAAAAAAAACTTTTAATACCTATGTGTATGTGACAGTGTTTTATTTTTGTATTTTGATAAAATTTGTGTAAATAATTTTCTTATTTTATTGATATTAAACTCGATTAATCAAGCTGTGTTTGATTAAAGGATGTTGTTTTAAATTTGTTTTGTTACGTCATACAATGGCATTCTTTACGTACCTGTAGTGTTTATAACCCTCTACAGTACCCAAGATCACAATTCGTCCAACAAAAAAAAACTTTGAGTGTTGACATTGGCAAAATATTCAACAATTCCAGTGCGGCCATAGCAGAAAAAACACCGTTTATTACTTGGAACAAAAACCCATCGACTTATACTAATGGACATGCCGTACGCATATAATCTGCAATAGTTTTTTGGTTTGAAAAGAGTGAGAGAGATGGCCTATGCTCTCGGTCTAGCACTATCTCTTTCCTCATAGATGATTGGCGCTCAGTCAGTACGGTACTATTTTGAGAGAGAGAAAGATAGACCGAAACTTCGTTTCCTCTCTTTCTTTCGGAGTGCCACAATTCTCATCTCTAAGGCATGTCCATTAGTATATGTCGATGCAAAAACCTGATATGTATATCAAAATTGAATCTTATTCTAAGACTAGCTGTTACTTGCGGCCAAGAAATATGTGCCATCGTTATTGTGGTGAGATCTCCTGAACACATCCTGACTTGGTGCCAAAGGTAGTAAGTATCTCAACTAATGCAGAATTGATTAAAAGATAATTTTGAAAATTATTAATAGACAAAGTAAAGCCAGTGGTGGCGCAGTGGTTAAAGGGCCCGCCTCTCGTCGACGAGGGCGCGGGTTCGATCCTGGCCCGGGCAAGTACCAATGTGATTTTTCCGAATCATATGTACTTTCTAAGAGTATTTAGACATCTCTGATTAATGTTGATTCCCAAAAGAGGGTTGATGTCAGGCAGGCGGCCGGTCGTAAAAACAAATAGCCAAAAACTATTCACAACATGTAAGGCAGACCCTGGCTATAGCTGGGAAATTGCCAGGTAGAAGAAGAAGAAGACGAAGTAACTGCCAAAAACAATACAAAGACTTCCTACTTTTTTAAGCTAGTTTAATGATTGCGTCAGTTACTAACCTAACAGCAAATGAATTTTCCATCAAAATTCGTGCAGCCGTTTAAGATATCAGACTGGCAATAATTAGGAAAATGGCAATTTTTAGTAGGTAAGTGACGCTTACACATTCAAATGTACACATTTAGTAAAGACTTGTATTTTAAAATACAAGAGGACAGTTTAATTTTATTTATTAGTATAGATTAGTATAGATAATTAGAGCCAATGTAAATTAACTATTTTACGCTGTAAGCAAAAATATCAAAATTAATATTTATAACAAAATTAAAGGCTTTTTGAGATGTTTTAATTTTATTTTTTTGCCGATGACTCGGTCAAAGCCAACCTGGCGTTATCCACAACTTTCTAATAATATAAAATTATTCGAAAATCGTATATATTTTTTTCTGGATAAAATACATTTTTATATCTATTAGACGTTATTTTATTTTAGTGACAAGTTTTGTAATATTTTTCTCAATATAAACACTTAAAATTATTAATTTACTAGATTTTCCCTCGAATTTGTTTGCGTTAATTTCGGCATTAGTAATACATAAAAGAAAGCCCACAAATGAGGCAATACCCAATAACTACAAAACAACAGAAATGTTATAAAAATTATGAATTATGTTAACATGAATAGTTTGGCAGTATTTATCAAATTAACTACAGAAAGAAACTGTTGTCTATAGATATTGTCTATCATAACTCTTTTTTTTTTTAACGAAAGGAATGCTTATTGGCTGTCGATCGTGCCTACATAGACCGGTAAAAGGTACATAGCGATAATGTCGTTTTGGCTAGGAGTTGAGTTCTCGAGTAAGTAAATATGGTTTTTCGCTAATATGAGGAAAAGTTGAACATTTTCCGGGATGTAAAGTAGCCTATGTGTTATTACTGAACGTCAGCTTCCTGTATACAAAATTTTATCACAATCGGTTCAGCCGTTTGAGCGTGAAGGAGTAACAAACATACACACTCACAAACTTTCACAATTATAATATTAGTAGGATAGTCATTCACTGATATACATGAAAATAATTATAAAATGGGGTTAAATTTACCATCTTTTTAATCTATCTATTTAACATATTTATCAAGCTTTCTAATGTAATAAAAGTTACAATTTACAGAAACTATTACTCTACTATGAAAAAAATTTAAAATGTCATAGCTCACATTTTATTTACTATTATTTTTACTAGTAACATTACATCATCAAGTGTCAATGTCAATTTTTAGTCTGTGAAGTTTCCTTTTTCTGTGGTCTTTTCTTGTCGACTGCTAAAGAGTGTGAGTTTCGTAAATTTTACTGAATTATATCCAAATTGATCCAAGAAAACAAGTGAATTAATAAATTGTAATTAAATCCATTGTATATTTGGTGTTATACTTAGTGATATGAAATTTATATTTTTTATAAATATTTGAGTTCTTCTAATCATAACATGTAATGAAAGTGGATGTTTAGTTTCTATGTATTAAATATTATACAATTGCTTACTATTTCAGTATTATTCTGATTAAGCACGATAATTATTGCCAAATACAGTGAGAACAGTGTCTATATGATAAAGGTGTTTATAAGTAAAAGTTTTAAGGTTAGTTTTGTGTTTTTCAGATACACCCAAGATGGGTAAGATTATGAAGCCAGGGAAGGTGGTACTGGTCCTTAGTGGCCGGTACGCGGGTCGCAAGGCTATCGTCGTGAAGAACTACGACGAGGGTACATCAGACAAGCCCTACGGCCACGCTTTTGTTGCCGGTATCGACAGGTATCCACGCAAAGTCCACAAGCGGATGGGAAAAAACAAAATCCACAAACGCTCCAAGATAAAGCCCTTCGTTAAGGTAATTTAAAGTTTTTTTATATAGATTAGTTGTTTTGGTGTAGATGGTTAGTGATTGACGTGTATATATAGACAACATATTTGTCATTTATTTTCATTGTTCATTATGCTGTTATAAGATTTTATATATTTAAAATTTATTAATTAAACACCTTACATTTTCTAGATTAGGTAAACATTATTTAGACTATTGTTATTTGTTATGTTAGTCATCTTAACAGAAACTTATATTTGTTAAGTAAAAGTTCTATATTTTTTTAATTAGATTAGATTAGAAGAAACAATAAGGATAAATAACACGATAGATTACTAAAGCAGTGCTTGTCTCGGTTTGTTGCAACAACTGATGATAGCTTCCTAATTACTATATGGTAGACGATATGGCTTGAAATATATTGACAAATAGCTATATATTTTCATTTTCAGAAGGTTTATAAAAATAAGTATTAGTTAAGACACTTTAGGGGACACATTCCCTTATACATACTAGTTTTGTACATGCATACACTAAAATTGTGTATAAGAGTACTCAGTACATAAAATAAACAAGAAAAACCAATTAGTAAAGTTTACCATATACAGTGGACCCCCGGTAATCCGACAAACATTTTGCAGGGCAGTGTCAAACTATCGAATTCGTCGGATTATAGAGTACTGCCTAAGACCTCCTATAGTCCAGATTTTTTTTACAAAAGAGTACCTTGTAATCCGACAAATTACAGATTCAATGATAAGATTATTTACATTTTATATATACATATATACTTATATGTACTCTGAAGTACAAATTCAAATTCCAACTAAGCAATCAGAATCAAAACAATACCCTACGTGTCGAGCACAATAGTGATGGTGCGTACAAGTTGTAACTTGTTCAATCATGCATTAGCGAATACAAAATATGTATTCAATAAAAATAATAGATCATGTCGGATTACAGGGGGTGCCGGATTAGACAGGGGGCGGATTACCAGGTCCCCACTGTAATTAAATTCATTTGTATACTACACACAAACATACTATTGCAACAAGTTTCATTTGTTATTGAGTTGTAGATATTTTAATTCCTTGGGTCTGAATCTCATTCATAGTTATTTGGTGGTGCAAAAAAATTTCACATTCTCTATCATATTTTATGTTTATTCTAAGGTATAAAAATTGTTATCACATGTTTTTCAAATAATGATTATTTACGAGTTTATCGCATTAAGAGTAGTTTACTACAATTTTAAGGTTTTTGTTTTATAGTATTTACCCATAGTATAATAAATAATGTCAAACTTTTAAAAATCAATTGAATATTTTGTTAGTATATATTTTAATATTATCCCTAGTGTATATAACCTTTTCCATGTGAGAAGAGGCCTTTGCTCATCAGCCTGGCTGTGATAGGCTAGACACTATAATTCTTTAACGAATTCTTTTATTATTTTCAGGTGGTCAACTACAATCACCTCATGCCGACCCGTTACTCTGTCGACTTTAGCTTCGAAAAGCTCAGCACAAAGGATCTGAAGGATCCCGCCAAGCGTAAGAAGCTGAGATTCAACACACGTGTGCGCTTCGAAGAAAGATACAAGAGTGGAAAGAACAAGTGGTTCTTCCAGAAGCTTAGGTTCTAAGACTAAATAAACCTTTTAAAAAGCATATCATTTTTTTTTACTATTCTTAGTTTAAATTTTTTTAATATTACAGAAAATTATAATTCACAATAATATTTAAACTTCTATTTATTGAAGATAGATCTGCTATGGATAAATGATAAAGGAATATTTATATGTAAAGGCGCTAAATCCTTTCATTTACGTAATTAATAATTATGGATAGTTTTGTGTTATCTGCGTAACTACCTGTGCAAGTGCAGTCACAACAATAAGTGTTGGTTGGCATAAATAGAAGCGAGGGAACTGATTAACACATAATTCCTTGAGCTATTGAAAGGATTCTACCTCTGAAATACAGAATTCGTCAAACCGTCTACTAAGTTGCCTAAAAAGCTCGAAGAACGAGGATAATAAAGAATGTTATAAAAGTAAAGTTCATGTTACACTTTAAAATCTATAAAGTGGTTCTAACTTATCTACTATATGGATAATTAAGTATCCAAAGCGGATGAATTCAATTTAAATAACATTATATTTTATACCCTTGATTGATGTTTAGGAAAGTTTCTTAGAGATTTGTAAGGAATAGTGATAGAAAAAAAAAAACACATCAATGACATAATTGCTTTTATTTTTTAAAATAAATTATTTAAGCTGTCTACCTACAGATTAATATCAGATAGCTGAATACTAGCTTATAAAATTTGTTTAAATAGAAAGTGATAACGTAAATTAAAGATACAATTGTAACTTATTGCTAAATTTGAGTAAAAATAATTTTTCTCAGTTTTCTTGTATTACAAAACATCAATAGTTTTTACTCATGTGTAATTTAAAAACCACTAAACTAATTTAATTCAATTAGCAGTGATAGATGCATTGTTAGTGAGGCACTTATAATTTTAAATCCAGTAAAGCAAGAACAGCTTACCGGTTCTGAATTAAACAAGAACATTGTAACATTGAACATTTTATTCTTGCAGCGAAATATTACAATTCCAAATATTTATATCCAATATATTTGACATAGCAACCCTAAAGTTATTTTTTTTAAATATCAACATCACGCAGGCGTCAGTTTGCCGATTCTTTCGTCTAATTTCTTGATTTCTTTTTGTAAGCTATCAATATTGTGTGCGAAGACTTCTTGTACTCCTTGAAGGAGCGCCTTGTTGTTTTGTACGTCGCTAGCGATTGTACTTTGTAGCGTCTCCAATTCAGTCAGAGATTTACCAAAGTTGCTTGCTGTAAATAGATTTATTTAAGTAAATCATACACTACTTGCACTATGCCGTCTTCTTTATATACTAATAAAGTTGATGAGATTTTATTTAAATAGCGACATCTATTGACACAAATTACAAAACTCATGGTTTTATTAATTTTAAAAGTCCTCACCTTGATTGTGTAAAGCCTCCAGAGCCTCCATTCTCTCTAAGATTTCTGAATGTGACACACCATCTATTTGCTTTAATAGTTTGTACAATTCTTTAACCTGAAATATATAACAAATATTTTGGATAGATATATTTATTAATGTGTGTGGTTGTATACAATTCTTTAACCTGAAATATATAACAAATATTTTGGATAGATATATTTATTAATGTGTGTGGTTGTATACAATTCTTTAACCTGAAATATATAACAAATATTTTGGATAGATATATTTATTAATGTGTGTGGTTGTATATACCTTATATTCCATACACAGAAAAGTTATCAGAAATGTAGAAAATTTAGGACTACCTCTATTTTAAACTTTTTTAATGACACTCAAAATGGCAGTGGAATAATTAAATTGTGAAATTCTTGTGCACACTCCACAAATATACCATATAAAATAACTGTAGACTGATCACTTTACAACTTTTCTTAACTTACTTAAGAATATTTGTTTATTTAATCGCTTACGCACAAACATCGCTAGTATATTATTTTAGTGTACCTAAAGTAAAAAAAACTATTGAAAATCTCACCTTCTCTTCGACTTCAGGCTGTGCTGGTTTGACAGCTTGCTTCAGAGCGTCAATATTACTAAGTAGTGACGTCACTCTGGCCTCCGCGGCAGCCAGGTCTGCAGGGCGCAGTAAAGCCGCCTGACTGGCTAGTGAGGCCGCAGCACCACATAGAGTAGCCTGGTGTATTGATAAAATATAAGAAATTTTATAAATACATAAATATACAGAGTAAGCTCCATGTAACGTCACTCGATTTAACGTCAGACTCTCTAAAGCGTCGAAATCATTTGACTTTGGTTGGTTTAGGTTGTCTACCATACAATGATACACTTTACATAGCATCACACCCACTCTAAATAACCCAAACAATTAAGTAATAAAAAGTGCCTTTTAAGTTGATAAAATTAGTAAAAACTGCGCACTGTGTACGTGTACGTTCTTTTGTCGCTTTGTTATCCCAGCCCTCAATAATCTCGACCGTCGGAATCATGCATACCGAACTTTCTTAGAAATTTGTTCTTCACCAAGATGCCTCAATATCGCAAGATATGAATAAAATAAGTAATAAATACAACAACATTACTGGTGCACAGCAAAACGCGTCAAACATAAATAACAGACTATACGCAATAGCGTTCGAATAACATTCTTTTTTATGCACATAAGTACTAACATTAGTCTGAAATAAACTTTGTCTTTTTCTAATTCTGATTTTTCTTCTCTCTTTTTAACGACAACTCTCTATAACGCCATAAATTGCACAGTCCCTTCAGTGTCGTTATATAGAGTTTACACTGTATATACAAAGATATAGGTCTACCATTAGGAACACATCAAGAAACAAGTACTAAATAGATTTCAATTAAATTCTCAATCAAATTTTGTCTTAGACTTTTGTTCCCTATCTAAAAAGTTAGTGCAATCTTAATTTAATATAAAGTTGCGAAAGTTTATAAAAACAAGGATTTTTAAAAATAGTAAGTTGTATAATCAATATCTTTGTTTATGTATGAAAACATGCAGACAATGTCGCGGGCAGCAGAAAGTATATTAGAAATGTAATCAAACACTATCAATTCATTTAAAGGGAAAATAAAAATAGCAATTGTTTTGTTTGTTTGAAAGGCTTAAGCAGTCCAATTATGATTCAATTAATTAATACCTCTATACAAAATAGGGATTTTTTTAATCTAATGAAAATAATGTAAATGTTTTAATCATAGAATTGTTATTTATAATATCTGTTCCATACCTCTCCAGTAACAGTCTGTAGTCTTCGGAATGCTTCTTCATCTCTCACACCAGCCGCCTGCTCTAGTTTGTGTAATCTTGTAATAGAAATAAAAAAAACTTATCATTATATATTAAAGCAATATTAATAAAAATTTAAATTAGAAAATATAGAACATAGAAGTCCTTATAGAATTAAAATTTATATATACTTCATAATAATTGAAACATAAAAATGTATTTCAATATTGAATAGTTGTAGTATAATAATATATATTTGAATTATCCTAAAAAAAATTTTAGCTTCATCAAATTTAAGGCCACAGATTATTAAGGAGGCATTCATAAATATTGAAATTTTTGACCCTCCCCCCACCTTGGTGAGATTTTATTCAACCCCCTCGCACCATACCCCATCTCACGTGAGATTTTTTTTTCATGGGGGATGCTGGCGTTACAGTCAGTTCATGTATAACGCCGAAGTATAAAATATATTTTTTTAACTGATCTTCATCGTATAACGATTACGCTTCAGATTAATTTTTTTATGTACAATCTGGATTAAATGGACCAATATAGTATATTTTTTCTTTGTTTCATTCTGAAAAAAATACGTGATATTTGCCGAGACCCTCCCCCTCCAAACGTAAGATTAGACGAGATTCGACTCGATCCCCTCTCCTCCCTTAAATATCTCACATATTTTATGAACGCCCCCAAAGATACGATTACTTTTTTATGAACAAGCTTATACCTGTGCTCCAACTGTGCTATTCTAGCTGTCTGTGCCAAATTGACTTCAGGCTTGAGTTTCAAATGTGCTGTGATCTTGTCACCTTGTTTCTTTCCGTTGACGCTTAAGTATTCCCTGAAAAAAAAATAGAGTAAAAAGTTTCAATAGGATTGAATAAATGACACTTATTTATCATAAGACAGACTTATTCAGTTTAAATTTATTTATACATATTTTAAAATGATATTTAATGAACAATAGGACTATAATATAACTATGGTGAAATACTATAATAATATGAAAACTGTGATTTAGTGTTGCCATAGTATAATTTTGATTAAAATAGTTTATACTTCAATTTCTCCGCTTTGGGATCAATTTGTTCCCCTTCCTCTAGTTTTAATTCTTCTAGAAGTTTCTTTGTTGAAGTGATCTGTGCTGCAAGTTTGCTGTATTCCTCCTGAAATTAATTATAAATACATTTATAATTATTTGCGATTTATAATAAAGTACCTAATAGTTTTGGTACTGAATTTCGTAATTTTCTTTTATCCTACTTGTAAGTTGAAAATTAAAATAGAATTATAATGTATTGTGTTAATTTTTTTAAGTTTAATTTATATTCTTTATGGGTATTCTTATAATAATAATCTTCCAAGCAGAGAATATCAAAAAATCTGAATTTGAATTGCACAATTAATATTAAATTTTTCTCAGTTTATTGCAAGTTTTTAAAAGCTCAATAGTTTCAATTCAATCCAACAAGTTGTTTTTCATTTAATTCTTTTGAATTAAAATACATATATAAAAATACTATTTTTGGATTTACTACGTGTAAACAAACGCAATCGCGTAGTACGAGGGGAGGTCAATAAGTTCGCGGAATGAGCGGGAAGGGGGTTGAAATTTAACACGAAACTATTTTTCCTTTTCAATATAGTCTCCCTTAACCTTAATACATTTTTCGGATCTCACAAATAATTTATTAATACATTCGAAAAAAATTATTTATCTTGGCTATCAAAATAGGCCGAAATTGCGGACTTGACTTCTCAAATATTTTTCACCGCAGCTTTTTTTTCATTTTTGAAAACAAATAATAGTCGCTGGGGACTAAGTCTAGACTGTAAGGTGGGTGGTGTAGTTTTTCGAGTCCGCATCAGTGAATGGCAGCCGTCGCAACATGGCACGTGTGGACTGTTGCGTTGTCGTGCAAAAGGAGCACACCTTTTGACAGCTTTCCTCTTCTTTTTTCCTTGATAGCTTCTTTCAATCTATCTAATAAAGAAGCGTAGTACTGTCCCGTTATAGTCACACCACGATCTTTATCAGCAAAATACCTTCTGTATTCCAAAAGACAGTCGCCATGATCTTTCCGGCCGATTGTGACACTTTAAACTTCTTTGGAGGAGCTGTGCCTTTTTTATGCCACTGTATCGATTCTTGCTTCGATTCAGGTTCATAGTGGTGAACCTAGGTTTCGTCACCAGTAAAAATCCGGTCCATAACTTCGTCCTTATTCTCTACACAGAGCTTCAAAAACTGGCGAGAACACTCGACACGATCGCTCTTTTGAAGTGGCGTGAGCATTCTTGGAATCCATCTTGCACTGACCTTAGTCATCCCAAGATGATGATGTAGGATATTAAAAATGCTTTTTTCAGATACTCTAACCATTGCTCCAAGCCGTTTCTTCTTCAACCGGGCATCTTCCATTATAAGTTTTTCTACTTTTGCGACGATTTTCGGTGTGGTGGCCTCAATCGGTCGTCCGGAGCGGGTGTCATCTTCAATGGACTCTCTTCCTTGTTTAAAAAGTCCATGCCACTTGTAAAAACTGGTTTTACCAGGGGCAGATTCCGCGTAAACTGATAACAGCTCTTCAAAAATTATCTGAGCGGATTTTCCTTGCTTGGTGAGGAACTTAATAACGGCGCGGTGTTCAATTTTCTCCATACTCACTGACTTCTTCCCGATTCACTTGTTTGCAGGTCAACAACTCAAAAGTTAATGACCCGATTTGGTTCAAACTTGGTATATATACTATTAATGAGGTGTTGAACAAGTTACTACCTGGACGAGTAAATCAACCCCCTCCATCCCCTCCATTCCGCGAACTTTTTGACCTCCCCTCGTAGATCGAAAATATTGGTTTTATATAAATAACTACTTGTGCAAGTCTTAGATCTCATTAAATAAAAGATTATGTATTATAATTACATGATAATTATATTATAAATATATATTTTTGCTATAGACAAACAAAATAAAAAAATAAGTTTTTCCAACAATTCTTTTTAATATTCTATTGTGGAAAACTTTTTAAATATAATTTCAGAAGTTAGTAGAGGTTTTATTTATGTTTCTGAAAGCCACCATTGATTTTTTAATATCTCATTATATTTATAAAAAAAAAACAATATAAATACATTTCTATTCAAAGTCTGATAGCTTAGCTAGAAATTGTAGTGGTTTAGTTAGATGCATAAAAAATAAGAATTAAACAAAATTTCCCTTCACAACATTCATTATGACAGTACAAGACATGTCACTAAGCATTTATTTTCTATGAAGAATCCAAAAATATTAAACTTCAAGTTTCAAATACATATTTACCCTAATAGACGGTTGTTATTGAATTTACAGAGCTCTTGAAAATGTTTGAAAAAAATATATTACATACTACAATTCCTTCAAAATAGTATATTGTGCAACTAATTCAAGATGTTGTCGTTTGCAACCTATAATTGACAATCTCACACTAGTTGCACATACTATTTTTATTACAAATGCATGTATAATTCGAGAATTACTTGTTATTTATTTAATTTTTATAAGATTTTTCGTCAGTTCGCGAATTTGCGTGTGCCAATTGAAATTTGGGTGCGAGAAGTTTACTTGTTGCACTCAAATCAACATTTAATTGTGAAGTGAGCAATTAATAATTGTGAAGATAGTACTTTCAATACATAAGTAATAAAAAAATTACAATAAAGTGTAGATTACCTTTTCAATCTCTATAGCTTTATTTTCTTTCAGTGTAACTTCTTCTAACAGCTCCGAAAACTCACAGCGAAGTCTGTTGTACCGTTCCAATGTTGTTTCTGTATCACCCACCGCTGCCAATTCCCACTCACCAGCTCTGGAAATGAAATATAGATATTAATATTATTTTAATACTAGAAGACCTGGCTGACTTCGTATCGCCCTATTATCAAGAAATATCTATTACGTTTTTTTATTTATATTTTTGCAGTTTACCTGTAAGCCATAAATCTCTGTGTTATGAAGTGTGACAGAATGATTGACATATTAGTTAGTTGTCAAATCTAATGTCAAAAAAAACGTTTGTATGGGAAATAGAAAAGGGCTGTTTTTATGGTTTTCCCAGTGATGAATCAATTTTTTTTAGCTTTTATACCTTCCCTGAACCTCCACGAACATTTCAAGACTAAGATAAGATAAATCCATTCAGGTGTTCTCGAGTTTTAGCGAGACTAAGGAACAGCAATCCATTTTTATATATATAGAAGAAGAAGAAGAAGATATATGACAATCCTATATATAATGAAATCTTTATAAAAGAAACAAATTTTATGATATAAAAAAGTTAATATAATAATCAAATATAACTTTTTATAAGGTATAAGTTCAGTTAAAATTAGTTTCTTATTATAAAATATAGTATTTTATAAAATCTGTTTGTGAAAATCCCATATTTACTGAGAACATTTGAAGTTTGTGTTTTAGGGTATAAATTTGTTTTGTTTGTAAGGCGGGTACAAAATGATAGGTACCTGTATCCAATACGATTTTTCCTGCTGAGTCTATCAGAAAAATCAACATTCCCAGTTAAAAATTTTCCTTTGAATGTATTGAAAGAATCTTTCACTGATATATGTAACTGTTCAATACAGCTATTTTCTTCCTCTTCATACGGGTCCGGCTGGTCAGCTTCCGGCAAATCATCGGTTTCATATACATCGGGTTGGTCATAAGCCTTAAAAAATTAAGGAACCTCCGAATATGGGAAAGACATTTAAAAATCAATAATTGTATGTTGTCTCGTGTAAAATACTTACTATGCCGGGAAGATTTTCGTACTTCGGATTAGCCATTTTATTTAAACTTTGATTCGAGATGGTGCTTATTCTTTTTTTTGAGCTTCAAATTTATGTAAAATCCTTTTATTTGGGCAAAAAGATGACGTCAGAACCAATACCAAACCAATGATGAGAGTTATAAAACAAGTGTCAGACAGACATTAGAATTCCATTTTTCCCAAACGATCAATAACTAAAGTATTTTCATTTAAACTAAAAATAAAAGTTTGTGTAACAAAATTTTTTAAATATCACTTTACAGAAAATTATAATTTAATTCTATAATACACCGTGTTTAATACTTATAAAAAATATATGTAGTTTAAAGTTTAAACCATAACTAGACCCCAGGATAGTACACGTCAGTTATGTCAAAGTTTGACGTACCTTATACCTACATAATACATATTTTCGGCTTTCAAGTTTTGTCTTACATTGTTGAGTCACCGCTCGCAGATACATTTTGGTCTTGCATCACATTATATTGAAATTTTAATTCAATTACCTTCTTTTAAATCACCCTGAAGGAGTAAGTGAAGAAAATAAAATGAGTCTTCAGTGGACCATCATCGCGTCATTTCTATACGCCGAAATAGCATTTGTACTGTTGTTGACCTTACCGATCGCGAGTCCTGCAAGATGGAACAAATTCTTCAAATCGAAGTTTCTAGCTTACATGACGGGCCAAGCATCCATCTACTTTGTTGTTCTCATTGGAGTTCTAGTTCTCTGCCTTCTCGACGCGATTCGTGAGATCCAGAAGTATTCTAATGTTGAATCTTCAGACCACCAACATTTGGATGCTGAGATGCAAGGAAACATGCGCCTGTTTAGAGCTCAAAGGAACTTGTACATATCAGGTATTGCACTTTTCCTTCTCGTCGTTATTCGGCGTTTGATCCAGATGATCTGTGAGCTGGCGACCTTGTACGCCCAATCCGAAGCCAATTTCCGCCAGGCTCAAAGCGCATCAGTAGCTGCCAAAGCTCTTCTAGAAAAGCAAGGTGCTGGTGATGAGGTTAACAAGAAAGAGATGGAAGAACTTAAAAGCCAGCTATCAGCTTTGGAAAAGGAGTTAGCCAAGGAGAAGAAAGATAAAGAAGCCGTTAAGTCCCAGGCCGAGAGCTTAAACCGTGAATATGATAGGCTTGCCGAGGAACACAGCAGGCTACAGAAGAAAATCACTGTTGCTGGTGGCGATAAGAAGGACGAGTAGAAGATTTTAGTATCTTCCTTCGTAGAGTAAACTTACATCTATTCTGTCTGCTGACGTCATACTGTGATTCAACTAAGCCTTGGATATCTAAATAACTATGTATAATAAAGTTAGACTTTAAAAATTATTTTTATAGTCTTAGGAATTCACTGGTGTCGCTTCGAGTTATTTTTGGTGGTTTATTTCTTAATAACCAAAGTCTGATTTTGTTTCATTGGGATATTATTTATGTGTGTTTGTTTTTTATTTTTTTTGGTAGTAATAGTGTAAGGTGTAATATTAATCTTACTTTTCTATAGCTTTTATATAAATGGTTAATGTTATTTCTATGTGTTTACTAATAAAAGACATTTAAATAAATTGTTTCATTATTTATTTGAACTCTCAATTCATTTATTTGGTTTTGCTAGCATAACTAGGACAGTTTCTGGGACACAAAGTACTATAAATTACATCCATAAAACATTTCCAATTGGTTCACCATTTTTTGTGGAAATGTGTATAGTACAAATTGTTCAAAACAATTTATGGCATTTTATAACATTTTAAAGTACACATATGTATTTTAAACTTTTTGATTACTTTTTTATTGAGGACCACTGCTATTCTACCCTTCCAAAGTTGTTTAAAAAAATGTAGGACAAATGAAATGTATATAAACATTTCAAAAGAACATTGTTTGAACACATGTTGATTAGAAGGTATTTTTGGATTTCCTTTTAGAATTATTTTTTATATTTATTTTGGTCCTGTTTATCATACAGTACCATAAATAGTTTTGTTACTAATTAATTCTGGTATATCTTTAATATTGTACTGAAATAGTAATTGCTTAATTAATATGCATGTGTCATATTTATAATAGGAAATTATTTAATCTGTACCCGAGTTTGAGGTCATTAACTTCTGATTGGTTATATTTATACAACTTCTGTTATCGCGACGCTCATATATATGTATATTATATTTTTTAATTAAATACACAAGAAATACAAACACTGGAATAATATACGTATATGGATTTATTAATCTTTATTGAAAAATATATAGAATTAGGTAAACATCAAAAGATATGATATTCTTTACGTACGATACATTGCCCGAACTTGGTTTTGAAGTAAACAAGGTTAAAAAGTTTCGTAACTGTTCGTCCATGTACTTTGGACTTTTTAACTTGGAAAGTTTGAAGTTTTAACTGTTAACAAATATGTCACTGGTTATTATTTAACAGAAAACATTTTGGTAGAAAATCGAGTAAATTTACATAACTTTTATTGAAAAAGTATAGGTACATCTAAAATATAAATGATAGTAAATGTGTATATTATAATCAAAATAGATGTAGATATATTATATGAAATAAATTATAATTCCTTTTTTTTGGATAAACTTTCGATTTATATTATAAGTTCTCATAGTAAGTTTTTCAATTCTATCATCTATGGCTTCATTCTCAATGAAAGCGTAACGTAGGGCATAAGTTAACAAATAGACAAAATTTTTGTTTTAGTAGTGTAAAGAGAAAAAGGCAAATCTTGTAAGTATATTTTGTTACAATTCATCTCTTAAATTCACATTAAAATTTTGATCTTCTATAAAACCAAGACTGTCCCAAAATGATCTATGTCCAAAGTCTGAACAAGACTTCATTTTCATACTACTCGGGCTTTCTATTTCAAGGTAGTGTAATTCCTTGGAACCGGGTTGTACTTTCGTCCATTCTTGACCGTTTGGCAATTGTGGAATTCTGCAAAAATATTTCGAGTATACAGTATGATCGATTCTTAATAATATTATATACTAATTTATAAAAAAACTCAATATACAATAACATATCAGTATAAAATGTGTGAACAAAAATTTAACAAAATCAACAAGTTGCCGCGTGCTTTTAAATTGTAGGGTTGCTTCATAAAGAATTCATGCAATTTGTAAGCTGAAATGTAGGCACTAGTGCTATTTAATAATTTAAGAGAGTTCCAGCCTATCTTGTTTTTTGATAAGTAAACAAGTTTATAAAGAATCTAAGCGCAAGATTCGTATATACAGATTTACTTGAAGTACATAAAGAGTTTTCAAGTAAATTGTTCTATTAACGTAGTTACTTTTAATAATAAAAATGTCTATTAGACCCACAGTAAATGATTTTAATCCCATTACACTATGTGTAATAATTAAACAGCTTGGGTTTAGGGTAACTTAATTTCCTTTTGTTAAATTGAGGAAGCTGTAATGTGTACGCACCCACGTAAAATAATACGATAAATGTGAAAGCGTGTATTAAAATTTGAATGAAATCATTTTGTTTGTCAAACAATAGCAGTATGACGAATAATTAGGAGAAATTTGTTCTAAATCAGACAAGTAATGAGTAGGGTTAAGCAATATTACCTAGTAATTTCGAATTGTCAACGCATTATAGCCTTATTTTAAAAACTACATACCTACTCCCGACGTTTCAGTTACTTTTGCATGGTTGCTTTACTTAGTAAGCAGTAAGTAAACATTAGTTTTTTTTAAATGAATAATCCTAAGTCTTAGTTATCATAATATTACCCAGTTTTAGCGTAACTGTAGATCAGATCCATCATGGTGTTTCTCATCTCGATGTCTTCAGCGGAGTAGTCGGTGAAGGGCAAGAAGTTGAAGACGGATAGCACGTCGTCTGCGTGGCTCACACCTAAATAGAAAATATTCTTAATATTGCTTAGGGATTAAAATGCACGAGTAAATCACTTGTTATATAAAATATTACATAATAAACCTCTTGTATCATTCACTATTGTCTATTTTTTTGACAAGTAAGAAGAATATTCAGTTATAGATATTTTTTTATGTCTAGTGTATTTGTATACACGCGTTTGTATTGTGTGTCTGTCTGCCGCATTGTAACTCTAAAACGGATCGAACAATTTCGTTGCGTTTCTTTCCATTTGAAAGTTCTTAGGAGTTTTTGACCTATAATTACTCAAACATGTGCCTCATTCCTCCAAGTATAATCATTAAAAAGCAATTAATGCGTAGGTACCTAGTGTTTTTTCAATTATGAAATTATGTTATTTGGTTTTTTATAAGTTTTGCTTGTTTTTAATATTTTTTTTATAAAATCGGGAAATAATAAATCATGAAAAATAACAAAGAAGTCACGTTGGATCACAATGTTTTACAAGAATTTTTAAAAATAAGATAAAAAAATAAGTAATTTTTATATTGAATTAAAATGAATTTAAATGGGAATCTTACTTTAAGCAACGTGGAGCACAATTTAAATATTTGTAACTTATAATAGGGTTAGCAGAAAAAGTTGGATAACAAGACCCAATCTTGCCTGGAGTGCCGAATTTAGTTTTCTACGTTATTATGAATTATTTTAATTTCATTATACTACTATATTATAGTTTCGTGGTAGGTATACAGTGTATCATCATGATTTTCCTTCAAAAGTAACTATAGATTTTCCATTTATCGATTGGCTCACTACATTCTTGTTAAAGGACTAACCATAATTATCCTCTTTGAGCGCCATCAGTTCAGACAGGCTGTGTGTGCCGCGGTATGAGAAGCGGTACATGTAGGTTGGTTGACTAGAGCGAGCGTGGAACTGAGCCATTTTGCCGACACTCACATCAAACAAACGATGTCCTAGGGCCTGTTCATAATTTATAATGAGTTAAGATATTTTCACGTAGTCTAATTCATTATTAAACTTCTTATCAAGTATATTGTTGTTTAATGAGATCTAAGACTTTCGCGAGTATTAATTTAATGAAACTAATACTATTATTCTAAACCGTCTCCATGTGAGAAAGAGGCCTTTGCTCAGCAGTGGGCTCTGATAGGCTGAAAGTTATAGGAAATTCGGATTACTACGCTTATTTTATTATTTTAAAAGTACATATTTCCGACGATGTGATTCACATCTCATCTGCCCGAGATCACGGTTGCTGAAAAGTAACCGAAACGTCGGGAGTATGGAGTTTTTAAGTAATAAAATAAAATAATCCGAATAATAATAATAATTCCTTTCATATTGTTGTTATTAAAGTGTGTTGAATAAGTTATACTATATAGACTAGTTTAAACTGTAAGTATCATTTATTGATCGTTTATTTTCAATAGCAAGTTAAGTTATTTTTGGAATTTTCTTGTTGTTACCTGCACCAATTGAGAGTAAGTCTCCTGTCCAATAGGTTTTCCTTCCATGTAATATTGTTTGATCTTCTGAGCCACTTCGCTTCTTTTGTCCAAAGGTAAGGTATCGTTGTATTCAAATATGGTGCTGGCGAGATGTTCCCATCTGGATTCCAGCTCCATTAAGATGCTAGGATCCGTTTGGTAAGCTGTAAGAGATATGTATATAAAGTTACAAAATTTTGTTGATACAATAAATGTAAACAAATTTTGTCAGGCGTTTTTCATTTATTCTCGTTATATATGTTAGCTAGGGGCCGCTTAAACCTATCCCTGGGTCGCAAGTTCTAAGCACTATTGAAGCTTCTCTCCCTGCGACGATGGACCCGACACACGCACGGTGAATACAATGAATTTAAAGAGGTTCCGTCTCTTATTCTAACAGAGTTGCATTATTAAATATATTATTTTATATCTTGATATCATATTACGCGCAAAATCATTATAATATTTGTATTAATATACCTGCAGCGGGATATAGTCCTTCTTCGCTTGTGACGGTCGCGATAAGAGGTAGTTGGTGCATTGCGCCAGCTTCTGTTGCGTGGTAGGGGTATTGAGTAAGAAAAGGTTCCTTAGTACCTTGAGGCTCGGCTGTAGGTGTGAACATAGTGAATAGGTTCACCCTCCAGTCCTAGAAACAAGGAAGAGTTTGTTTTAATTTCTATCAAAGACTACTAAGAAATAAGAATAAAAATGCATAAATTCCCTCTACTATAGTAATACTTACAAACATTTCGATCTGTGCATTAACAATAGCTTCAGCTGGCCTGAACTTAAGACAGTCTATCATGTTTCGAGAGTTGGATGTGGGGCAGCCTACTATTGAAGCCAGAGTTTTGGCCTTCTGAGCTGGTTTAACTGCGTGTGTCCAAGAGGCTAGCGCTGAACCACTGAAGGCAATGCCTCGGTCGAATAAACCTAAACACAAATGTAAATTACGCTAAATAAAGAATAGGATATAAGCTATTAATAATAGAGTTTTAATGGTTTTAATATGAAAAGTCATCATCTATATTAAAAAGCGTTAAGAAACAAATAAAAGTGTGTTCTAGTCTTTACAGAGGACTATTCAAATTCATAAAGATAATAACATAATCTCCAGACTAATCCACATGTTAATATATGTATAACATAAGACACGTTGGACGCTAACCATGAAATGTTAGCTTTTGCATTTCAAAATAACCTCGTTAAAGCGATAGAGTTAATTATCATTACTTGTTTAATATTAGATTAAATGAATTATTTACACATTTCTACAGGCAAATTTAAAATTAAATTTATAAATTTAGAATATCTGCAATGTTTTCAGTATTTTTAAACTTTAATTGATTTTTCAGAAAAGTTTTTATAAAATTGTTTTCCTTTTTAATAAATATGTAAATAAATGCATTATTTTTCAATTAGTTTTTTCAGCCAGCCGAGTAATTGAATACTAAATATTCGATGACTTGGGTGGCTGAATGTCAAATATTGGAAAATTGTATTCGGCTGGTTTGTTTCAAGCTGGTATTGTTCCCGCTTTTTCGTTTTATGCATTTCGGCCCTACAAGAATCAAGGATGAATGCAAAATAGCAATAACTTATGGGTAGCTGCCATTAATAACTATAAAAACTACTTGGTATTCTTTTTATAATTAAATCTTATTATAAGTAAAACGAAATCAAAGGAGAATAGAATTCCGTTTGAATATTGGTATAAATACTAAGTTACAGTTCAGTGAGTGCGGACCGTTGAGAAATGTGATTATGAAGAACCTTCGAGATATACAAGGACATTTAGAAGAATTGGAGTTTCATTTTAAAACTTCCTGGAACGCACTAAAGTTAGTGACGTCAGCAGCGACAATAACTACAAGAGACATTATGTCTTTCTTTAAAAACAACGATTTCGACCTAAATCCGATATAAGTATTACTGAGCTTAAAATGGTCTAATTATTTTTTGGATTTCTCAAAGTAAAGATATTGAGTAATAACTTAAAATTAATACAGGGTGACTGGTGAATTACTATCAATATTTAAGGAGAATACTCGGTACATGATTCTCATTCGAATTATGTAAAAAAAATAGGCACTTAATTTTTGACAAAATTTCCGTATAAATAAATAAAGTGTTGACACGTTCCAAGTGTTCCAAGTGTGGATGCGTGCGGCGGCGTGCTGATACAACACCACGCCGCCGCACGCGTATGTGTGAGTGTGTGTGTATACCTAATCTGTAGGGCGTTCACACGATGCGTCATTAATTACATAACTTTTGGTTAACTTTACTTAGAAGTTTATTAATATTTATGTTATATTAATTTTTATTTTGTCATATATGATCGTCAAATATCACGTCCTCAAGTATCGATAGTAATTCACCAGTCACCCTGTATATTTAACTTCTTTATATCCATTTGTAAATCTCGTGATAAGTTTTTGTCTGGATGTATAAAAATGAATCCATATTCCTGTTCTCACTTAATTGTAAACGGCATGACAGAATCTAACGGTATGTTTCCCTTTTTTGAAATGATTCTTATACTTAGTAGAATTTTCTTAAATTTATATAAATCGAGGAAATTGCTTTGAAACTAAGAAAAAACTTAAAAATGTATGCCAACCTTCATAATAAACCGTTTTAATGTTGTTTGAAAGTCGCCTGCCAATTGTTGAGACGGATTGCACAACTTTGATATCTTTTATCTAGATGACATAAAATTTTAATATTATATTTATTTTAGTGACTTGTATTATATGGAATTAATAGCTTTATCATAGAGTTATAATCCTTATCAGTTCCGTGGGAATGATATAATGATATATATATAAAGTCAGTGGTGGCCTAGTGGTTAAGGGGCTCGCCTCTCGTTACAGAGGGCGCGGGTTCAAACCTGGCAAGTACCAATGTGATTTTTCGGAGTCATATGTACTTTCTGAGAGTATTTAGACGTCACTGACATACGGTGAAGGAAAACATCGTGAGGAAACCTGGACTTATAGTTTCACAATTATAAGTTTGAAATCACCAACCCGTCTTGAGCAAGCGTGGTGATTAATGCTCAAACCTTCTCCATGTGAGAAAGAGGCCTTTGCTCAGCAGTGGGCGTCGAATAGGCTGATGATGATGATGATGATGATATATCGGCATGACAGAAGAACCTCTGTCACTCCGCCAGCAACCATGCTAATTGTGAAATGAGAAGCTGACAGTAAAAATTTAAAAAAACATTTAAGTGTCAAGTACCTGGTAACTGAACATTAGATTCGTGCTATTAAATTGAATTCTCTTACTATATCAATAAAATAATCAAAATCTATACATAGATATTTTAAAAATATTTAATTATTTTTTAATAATATTATTAACTGAAACCTCATTAAATTTCTTCGTAATTATGTGTATATAAAAGTTTATATGCTATTAATAATCCCATTCTAATTCCATTTACATTGGACATACTTTTTACCAATTATTTATTCACTTTAGAGTACCAGGTAAAGAAAAGTTCATTCTTTATCTAGAGTTCATTGCCCAGTTTTAATTTTTAATAATATTTATGTTTATGTTATATTCCTATTGAGATAAAAATGTACAGATATTTATTTTAATTAGTCTCTATTATTATTCCTATTTCCTAATTGAAAAGTTAAAATTATAAAACCTTTTTTCATAAGCTCAATAGTATTTGTTTTTTTTAATATTTTCTAAGTTATAGAACTTTTTACTTATTTTAAGCGAATATTCTCATCATAGAAATATTTTTGTTCCAGAGACCGTGAAGTTTTGTTAAAGAAAATCTTATCTACAATATTACTTAGCAACTGATTATTTATACCTACTGATAATAATACTAGTTGGGATTACGAAATAGTTGTTTTTTGTACATAATATGCCACTAATCCTAGTAAATAAAGTTGACATCATTTTTAAAATAAAGGAATTTGTGTAATATATTTTAGGCATACAACAAGGAATGAGATTTACAAACATTTGGTTTGTAAAGTCCATTTACTAGATGAAAAGTCAATATAAACGTTGATTCTCAAGTTGAAATAAAGGGTCAATGAACTCTGGTCCGGTTTATTTAGAGGCTGGTTTAAAGAATTATGTATTTCATATCGTACCATTATTTTCATTACAATTAGCGTTATAGTAATAACTATAAGCATTATACATAAATCTATCTGTATGAATAGAGATATCCAACGAAACGTGATAAATTTCGTAAAAAAACATATTAATCCCTACTAATATTATACATATGCGAAAGTAACTCTGTCTGTCTGTCTGTCTGTTACGCTTTCACGTCTAAACCACTGAACTGATTTTAATGAAATTTGGTACAGAGGTAGAGTAGACCTTTAGAAAGAACATAGGATAGTTTTTATCTGAGACTTTTGAAAGATTCTCTTGGCGATATAACCGAACCCCAAGCGGGCGAAGCTGCGTGCGGAAAGCTAGTAATAAATATCTGGAGAAATTATTTTGGTTGTAGGTATGTCATCAAATACAGCTGTTGCTTGTACATGTTAAGGTTTATTGCTATCATCATCATCATTACATATCGTTGGGAATAGTGCAAAGCCGACTAACTACCATTGGATAATTCCGTAATTATTTAGTGTTTAATTTATTACTAATAGTGAAAAAATTACCTTAAAAGTCGTTAATATAGAAAATATTTCTGCCTAAACTTTCTTTTGATATGCTTCCAATGTAGATACGCGGAATTATCCCATGGTTGTTACGCGGATTTGCACTTTACCCGACGATATGTATAAATGTATGCAGAAAGTATATAACTATACATATGTATGTATATAGAAGGATATTATTATTAATTTTTAAACATAATTTTCTAAATATATTCTAACTAAACATGGCATATTTACGAATGACTTTATTAGAATTTTTTTACGAATCTCGAATTTTTTTGTCTTTTAAATAAAATAAATTGAAAAACTGACTGTAATAACCAGACTGGGTAACTTGTGGATATTGTTTGAATAGTTCAATATACGGCTTAGTCGTAAAGCAAAAATTCTTGCCTACATTTAGCAGGATATCCATTGGTTGAGATGAATAGAAAATAAAGGTTTGCCACCCATTATGTTGTTTAAGAAACTTCATATTTTCATAAAAATATATTGAATAGTCTCGTTTTCTTTGTACACTTGACATCCAGACGTAAGTGCCTCAATTTAATTTAGACCCAAATAGATAAGTTGGGAGAAAATATTTGTATATCAAACCTCAATTTTTTATCGCTCGACAAACCTTTTATATATTATATTAACTGCAAAACAATATAGTCTCGACTAAGATGTTTCGTGAGTTACAATTCTATTGAAGATATTAATAATAGTTTATTAAAATATTGCTGGAAACTATACTAATTACACTTTAACGTCTTAGACGGTCTGAAGCTAGGAGCTAAAAAACATATTTATTTGTTACGTACGCGCTACATATGAAGAAATAAATGAACACCGCCAGAGCACCATCGTTGTATGGATAAAATATTATATGTATAACGAGTGACACTGCTGACTTCGCGGAACGATCACCAAGCCGTGTGAACCAGAAGATTCCTGATCCTACACAAGCTATGGAATGGTATTGCTATCCTAACATCGGGGCAATTATGTAGTCTTGAATGTAGGTTATAAGTTTTAACACGTAGTTCTTATTATAATAGACCTATGAGTAAGTTTCGTAGTTTTCCTGGAACCTTAATTACCTTATAAAATAATATTTATAGTCACAGATAAAGTCGAGTGGCAACAGCAAGTTGTTCAATATATTTAACACGTGTTCTCATTGAAAACATTCCAGTACAAAAATGTGACGTTATTGTGAATAGAGAAACGTGTAAAACAATTCCGAGAAGAAAGAACGAAACCTTATTACGGAATATTTTTAATGACTTTCTTCTGTCGCTTAATTGTAAACAAAATTTGATGTCAAAGTTTTATTTTTATGAAACAATTAAAATTTATTTAGCAGATATATACGAAATCAAGATATTGTTAATAATGGATCTACTTACTGATTTAAGTATGTTTATGTACAAGTATTTCGTATACCGTAGATTCCGTAGATATACAATGATGTATTGTGGTTTCTATATACCCTAAGTATTAGTTCGCTTTATAAACGACAATACTTACCTCGATTGAACTACTTTAGGACAAACTTAACGTAAAACAACGACTTGTAATCATAAACAAAAAATCATTTTATTGAAAAATTGCACTAACCTTTTGACATTGGCGACAAGTAGTGATAGTGTACACTGGCTCCTCCAGCAGAGCCACCACTTAATGTAACACTATCAGGGTTGCCACCGAACATTAATATGTTCTTCCTCACCCACATCAGAGCAAAGGCCTGATCTTTAAGCCCTGCATTTCCAGGAGCCGCGTCATCTCCCGTACTAAGAAATCCTATAAATATAATATCGCTTACATATCTTTTTAAAATCGAATAACTTTTTGAATCTTTTTGATGTCGAATACTAAGTCCTCTATAGTTATTTGTATGAAAAGGTTATTGCATTTTATTACGTCATCCGACAATTGATATTAGCATTACAATTCCAACGCGCCTCACAGGAATGTGATACGAGGACATTTGCATATCTATTTCATTTAATCAAATCATATTATTTTTTTAATCAAATACTTACATGTTTTTGTATTTCACGTAATACGAGGGAAATATATTACGCTTATTATAATATGATCTTTTCAATGCCAATGTAACAATCATAATTGTTTTTGTACTACATATGTACATATGTGACTAGCCAATTTTTATTTGTTGTGGGTATTAATGATTTACAAAAACAAATACAATTTCATATTTGTTGTACTACATAGTATGTGATATATGTAAATATTTTATTATATATCATTTGAAACAAAATTTGAAAATTTAACGAGAATTTTACATATACGACAGGAAACCAGGAAATAAAAATAAATCAACATTTTTTTCATGAAACAGAAATCTTTAACGTTAAAAGCAATAATTTCAAGGTACATATAACAAAAGTTTACATGAAGAAAATTTACAACAGTATCTAAAAATACATATATATGTGGATATACGATACCTAGAGGTCCCAAGCGGTAGTTCAAAGTGACAATCACCATGTCGCGGTCCATCAAATGCTCAGCATTATATAGGGACCCAGAACCATACATAAACGCACCGCCATGTATATATACCAGGACTGGCAATAGGGAGCCAGGGTTGAGGTTCGGGGTATGAACGTTGAGGAACAGACAGTCCTCGGAACCTGGAGATATGAAAACAATGATGATCATTTCTATAAAACACATTTTAAATTTAGGCGTTTGGTACAGATTAACTACCTAATCAATGTTAATATTAAATGTTTAAATGAAACTAATATTTTTCGGATAGGTATACTAAGCGGTTTTTTTTTGGTAAAAACTATATACTCCCAATTTCTCGGCTACTTTTTAGCAACCGAAAATCTAAATACTAGCCGAAACGTCGGGACTTAACCATGTATTATTCGAAAAATATTAATGAATGAAACTCGTGAAAGTCTTAGATTTCATTATATCAAATGTGTAATGTAAAGTTCAAATTATGTATTATTATTATATATGACATGGGCATATTATTTAAGATTATTTATTTTAAGATCTAACGTGAAATATTTAGATTATTTATATTTTTACGATTTCTTTTATGATTACGTCGACGAATACCTAAAATGTATATTTTACTCTTCCTTGATGACTGTCTGGAAGAGATCGCTCTTTAGCTACAAAGCCACCAAAATTGTACATTTTTATGAACTATGATTTTAATATATAATTGCTAATTTAAGGGTGTACAATAAAAAATATTATTATCATTAAATCCTTCAAAAGTTTTCAAGGCGATAAAACATAGACTTTAATTATATATAATACTTTTAAACAGTAATAATTGATAGTTTTAATTCTAGGAAAATGGTATAATAGCTGTCTCAAAGAACATAAGAACAGGTATAATACTTGTTAAGGTTTTTGCGATATTGCAAAGATACAAGTTATTCAGACCTGACAACTTAACTAGCAATTATTAGAATTCCACATTCTGTTCATTTAAACTGTGAAAAAATCTAATAAATGTGTCACTATGTAATTTAAATTATTGCAATTTGCTTATATTCAATTTTAAGTTACTATTATTTTAAATAAATAAATTGTTATGGTATGAATTTAATTTCTTATAAACAAAAACTAATGATGATTTGACTAAAAAATATTACTAGTTGGTAATGACGGAGTAATTTATTTAATGATAATGTTATCATCTTTATAATTAAATATACTAAATTTGTGTCAGGACGGCTTTTATTTTCTTCATTGAATTTTTATCCTATAAAGATATCTCTTTCTTTATTTATTAGCTTAAATTAGCATTGTCATTTTTGTTTGTCAAAAATATTATGGGCAAATGTAAAGTAATACTGAGAGTCATTTTAAATTTTTCTAGAAGTTAGTTTTGTTTCTGAGATTGTTACGATTTTATTTTGTTCAAATCTATGATCAACTATGAGGTCAATGACCCTTAGATACTCTGTTCATACTGATTAAGTTGTTTTGGTTTAATTTATGATGAATATAATATATTATCTGTGTTTGCATAAAACTCGTTCTTATCTATAAACCTATTATATGGTACAGGTAATTTTAATAGGTATTTTGTGTATCTAAGTGCCAGCTTGTGTATACTGTAAAAGAAATATTGGATACGTAGTTTACGTACTTGCATCCTAGCTTCGTGGTTTTTACTTATGACTTGCTAATGGGAAATAATTCAATAGAAAATAGTATTAGTTAATAAGCAATATACATATATTTGATATCAGTTGAAGTTACTTCTTAACTTTTGAATCCCGTCAAAGATAAGATTAATTTTCGTGATTTGCATACATTTTAAAACTGTTTAATTCCTCAATTTTATTATTTTAAAAACGTTTTCTAATGAAATATTGTTAATATATTTATATGTAGTTAAATTTAAGTATTATTTGTTTATACTCGTTATTAAATATATTTTTTGTTGTTCAATGTTTTTTCACTTTAAAAACCAGTTAGCTATTTTTACATCAAACGATTAGTTTAATTGCTACTGGGCACAAAAAATTCAATGTGAATCTTACTTTATTTTAGCATGTTTTTATGTAATTCAATTAATTTCATTCTCTGTTTCCCCCAAAAATGTAAGATCTATGCGATCTTTTTCATCAGCCGATTACCACACAATATGAATTATTTTTTAAAAGACGGAGTAAAAAAATTTGATGATCTTAGATGCAAAAGCGCTTAAAGAAGAAGTGAATGTAGACTTAGACACTTATTGATAAATAATATATATGATAAACTATTTACCAGTGACGCTGTTCATGAAGGGATCATACTGGAGGCAAACGGACATAGGTCTAGAAGCATCATAGGTTCCATCCCAGGCTTTTAGATGTTGGGGTTCCTGAACACAAGAAGAAATAAGAAGCAATATATTAATTTCCTACTTTGATTTCAAATACGAGTACCTGGATATTGAAAGGATCGATTTTAATGGAGAACAAATGTTTAAAATAGTTTATATATCATATAAATAGCTTATATATCATAGAAATAGTTGTAAAACTATTAGACAGGGCCGCGTATGTGAATAACATTTACGAATACAGACTTATATGTTTGTGTGACCTGTCTGTATGTGTTTGTGTGAGTAGGGCTTATTTATTAATATCTCGTATGAAAGTAATTTTCTAGTCTCGTTATTACGAAATTCTTACTTTAGTTCCATCTGGTTTGATAAACAGACCACATAAGGTAAAACTAATTCGACGGCGTTTTGTTTGTATGTGTGTATGTTCTATCGTTTGAACGACATATTTCTGCTCAATAACAAAATTGTAGTTATATAAAAATATTTACACTAAATTCCAGATTTTGTTTGATTAAAAACAGCAAATCAATATGACTGCCTGTAATAATAATAATAAAATAATATGTCTGTCTGTATGCTCTTATAAATATGTGGAGTAGACTGTTTACTGATTAATAGTAGACGACTAGAGGTTAAGAGGTTAATCAGATTGTATGCAACTAGACACATTTATTTATTATTAATTAGACATATCGCTCTTTTATTATTGAATGTAAAAATTGTTAATATGTATGTTCATAGAATATTTTTAATTGGATGCAAAAAAATGATACAAGTAAGAATTCAAATATTTTGTCGTTTAAAACTTAGGCTGCGAACAAAAAATATAAGAATTTGTATCTTTATTAGGTTTTTCATGTGTACCTATATGTTAATTATTATATGTCTTGACGAAATTTGTTTCTCAATTTCTTAAATATATCATAAAAATATATTTGTATATTATGTTCGGTGTAGATAAATGTTTCTAAATATGTTAAAACCATATATCTGTCATGGTTTTTTAACACTTATATATTATATTAGTATGACTTGTATTTGCTTCATAGTCTTATATAATTTTAGACTTACCCTAAACCTATACTTTCCGATCGGCGGTCGGGCATATCTTATTCCTTGGAAGCTGGCATATCTTCTACCATTAGTTGACTCCTTCCATGTTCCTTGCAGCAAACCATGATGTAAACGAACCGTGGGTCTCTGCTCCTGACCAGCCACTAAAACTAGTAGCAGTGAAAATAATAATAATTTAAACAGTGCCATTTCAAAAGCCGAATACACGTGCGCACACGGCTGTAGCAAGTCGCCTACTGTTTTCATTATTTGTTATAAATTAGAGCATGATTAAACATGTTTATTTTTAAATAAATATTAGAAGAGATTAAATGTTTTAAAATTAAATAAGACGATAATAGTTTTGTAGGTTAAAATTGTAGATAAGTTATCTATGAACGAAAGTCACAAGTGAAAAGATCAAGCTAGACATGAAGGTACATTGAACTCATCTGTATCTACATTTGACATGTTTATTTTGTTTGTTACATATCTAAAATGTTTTAAGGATATCTTTGTTTTGCTTCTATAATAAATCAGTCAAGGTATTTATTATCAGATACCCTAATGATGTATTATTCAAATATAAACTTTAGACCAATAGTTACATGGTTCATATTAGCGGTCTCTAAAAATTTTAAACGCTCAAGGTTTTAACGGAAGCAATAACAATGAACGTTAATTTTTATCTAATTGGTATCCTTTAATGTGTTGCATTTTTAATAAAACGACAATAAAATAATATTGCAAGGCGACATTTAATAGAACAAGGATTATAATTTGTAGGTAGAAGAATGATATGTAACAAATAATCATTCATTTTTAGAAAGTTCTTTTCCAAATCATATGTCGAAGTTTTGACTGAAGCGATTTTTTTGATTTCATACGCTACATGGCGTTATTTACATCTTTGCTATTTTTATTTTTATTATTTTGTATTCCGTATTGAAACATTTTTCAATTGGATATAGTTATTTATAGATATTTTCTGTGAATGTTATTTTATAATAATATATACTTAGGAGTTAGGTATCATAATTGTTTGAAATATTATGTATATGTATCCGTATCTTGTACGGCCTTGTAATTATATTACAAATGTGTAAGAAACTGTCAACAAAAATACATTGTTTATAAACGAATGTAACCAAATACTATAGGTAGATATATTTTTATTACATTTCATTGAAAAAGTTTTATTTATTTTATTATTAACTCGCCTCCAAATTCACGACGGAAACTAACTAATTTTATATTAGTTAATTTTAAAACAAAAACAAACAACGGCTTTTACATTAACGCTGTAAAGGGGAAGTCAATTAAGCAAATATTTTTTAATATGAGTGAAAGCACTTTTCAGCTAGGAATAATGTAGAATAAAATATAGAAATGTTTTAGTTATTCAATGGGAAACAATATAGCTTATGTAATTGTATACGCATATAATATTCTGACAAAAAACAGTTTACATAGCCTAAATAAAGTACAAAGAGATTAAAATAACTATGAAAACCAAAATACTATTAAACATACATTTTTATTTTTAAACAATATCAACAGATCAGTGGAAAAAATTGCACTAAATTTCAATGTATTATTGCTATGTTATGTATTGTTACTTAAGACTTGCTTTTTAAACTATAGATAAATTTGGGTGATAGTCGAGACTGGAAGAGAAGAACATATTGTGCCAACCCTACATAAAGTTTGACCAGGGCAGAAAGAAGAAGAAGATGAATTTGTAAATAGGTAAATTTTAAATTTTTATGAACGATTATAATTAATACAAGATGAACGAAAATGAAGGTGATGTTTAATTTAAAACACAATAATTGTTATCATTTATTTTTAAAGACCCAAAGTGCCTGTCAAGCAAATTGCGCCTTTTGAAAACCTGTGTTGCAAACTTTATAAGTGCTCTTATTCACTACATTTTTTCGGACACTGTAGATCCGTTTTGTTTCTTTTTGTGATACTGAAAGACAAACTTCACAAACGGAATATATGAATATTTTAACTTGAAAGCATATTTTTGTAATTTAAATAAATTTCTTGGTTCTTTTAAAGGGAATTCATATGATTTTTTGTCACTCAATGAAAAATATCGGTGTTATGTTACGAGCACATATAATTTTCGTTTCTTTGGTGAAATGTTAAAGAAAATTAGTATTAAGATTATAATCTTGTATATCACAGAGATTTTCATTTATGTCGGATTAAGGAAATTAAATTAAATTACTAACAAAAATAGTATAAAATAATCTTGTTAGAATTAAACTTATGATTTCTTTCTTTCTTTTCACATTGTCGTCTACTATATATTAAATGTAAATCCTTTGAAGGCAATACAATTTGCCTAAAAACCTACACAGACTACGTAGCTTCCAATTTAATATCAAATACAATTTAGCTTTATTATACCTGGCTAGTAAATGAAATTGGCAGTATAATTTTGCAGTTACACATCATGTTATATACTCTCATTTGGTTAATACTGCTATTAACAGAATAAAATCGTATACAGCTAGAATATACTTAATAAATCGTTTGATTTAATCAAGGACTGTAAGATAATATATTAAGACTTATTAGGTGATGTAATATATTAAGACTTATTAAGTGATGTCAAGTTGCTAAGGAGCCAAGGCTCTATTCGGACTATATGTAAATCGTGTTTGAAAGTTGAGAACTCATGAACTCACGAAGACTCCGTCTAATGAAGTATACGGAATCTATTCAGTTGGAGAAAATATTAATGAAGAAAAAGATATATACTTTTTTGAAGTTTTCTTATTTATTATACTGTTTAATTTAGTTCATAACTTGATTGCTTCCAACTGTATTAATTGTTTTCATTGGAATATTTGAGTTAAATAAAATTATTCAAAATTTTGTGACAATACATACAAGTGACAAGTTTCCAACTAAAAATATAAATAATAATTAAATGTACGCCTTTATTCCATTTGACAAACTCCTTCGTTTTTCCTCCACACAGTACTCAAGATTACAATTCATCAAACAAATAAAAATAAAACATTTGCAAAAATATTCCACGATTCCAGAACGAATTTAGTTTAAAAAAGACTACAGACATATTATGTATTTATTAAACCCATAGCAGCGTCTATCAAAATCACATCCTACTAATATTAAAAATCGGTAGTTTGTAAGTTGTATTCTCGCAGAAACTACTCAATGGGTTTTGATGAAATTTAACAGTAATGTATCTTAAGACAGAAAAATAATACACAGAATAGTGTTTTATTCTAAGTCTGTCTTTTACACTACATATTATATATTGGTAAGTCATTGAGTGAGAAACAAAAACTTCGTATTTAGTGACGATGAAATACTTAGACTAGAGTAGACTAGACTTAGTATAGAATTGTACTGTATATGAAGTGACTTGATGCACACTAAGTAAACAGTTAGTTATCATATTTAATGTCGTTAAATACTTATACATTTGTATAAATACTTAGGAAAATTATAATTTCCACGCAAAATCACATGAAACAAAGAGTTTTAAATAATTTTATGTATATAAAAACAGCATTGCGATCTTCTCCTCCAAATAAACTTTAACTGTTTTAAAATCCACGTTCACCCATTGGTGCAAATTATTAAAATAGTATAAAAAGTTTGAACTTTGAGTTTTAATATTATCTTATATAGAAAAAAGTATACTACTATAATCCTGAAATACTGTCACAAAAATCTTTTTGTAGAAAAAATATAAATCAATGGTTTTTAAATCAATTTAGTGATAACTAGCTGACCCGGCGAAATTCGTACTTTTCTATAATTACGAAATATCAGTAACCTTTTTATCTGAATAAAGTTAATTTCTTTATTAAGTATAACTGACCCGACAGAAAATGTTCTGTCTTCTAAATTATGATTATTGAATTTTAATTAGTATATTAACAAATTGAATTTATTACAAAAACAAAGTGTTTATTATTTTAATGCTTTATTCTATGTGAATATTGTTGCGAGTGACACATTATTTTAATAAAATAAGTGGAATATTTTATTTTTTTTCTAATAGGTTTCGTAAAATTTTCTTTCATAAGAACCTTCTAGTAATAATAACAAATACAATTAAAAAATAATTAGTGAAATCGGTCCAGCCATTCACGTGTGATGCCGTGACCAAGGGAAAAAAGGGATTCATTTTTATATGTATATATAGATTACTACTACTATGCGATACCAGACCATACCCCAAACGCCTTTGAGAAAAAAGGTCTGTTAAATAAGAATTCAAGCGTTACAGTTTCATTACTATATTTAAATAAAAGGTATTTTAGGGTTGACCTTATTAAAATTAATAATATGCTTTGTATAACTTTACTTCATCAGAGTACAGAGGGAATATATCCAGTTTTCATTAATAATATGAACATAAACGTTAATTGAGAAACGGGAAACTCTTTGTATGTAGTGATGAAGGAAACCTGTGCTAAGTACGCAGAAAACCGACATAAGTACGTAATTACAAGTACATACTAAAAATAGATTTTCTTTCTCATACGTGTAACTGCAATTATGTGTCCATTTAATGTGGTGAGACCAGTTTGCACCGCATACAATGTTTGAGACTTATTTTTATATAAGTGTTTTTGTATTTTTTACATAAGTGGAGGAGCCTAGTTGTGGTCAAGTTATGACATCGATTGTGGAAATATTACCTTCTCACAGAAGATCGTCGTGAAGTAGCCTTTAATGGCTGTTTTACTTCTGATAAGTTGGCGAGCTGTTGCTCTTTTTTTGTTCCAACCTTTTCCTGCCCTTTCCTTATTCCCACCTTTCCCTCCTTCTTCAACAATCAAGACCGGCAACATCTCTTAATTTGCAGATGTCCATGGGTGACAGTGAACCCCTTCCACAAGTGGGCCGTCCACTCGTTTGTTACCTTCGATGTAAAAAAATAAGTCGATAATTACAAGTACATATTTAGAAAACTATTCTGTCTCATAAATCAAACTGCGATGATCTATCCATTAATGTGGCGAGACCAGTTTTATCGCATACAATTATTTTTCATAATTTTATATAACATTAATAAAGGTTTTATGTATATTTTAACTTAAAGTTTTCTCATAATTTAGAAAGATCATTTCACAGTGCTATAAAAATATATGTCATCAATACGTATATTTGTTTTTATTATAAAAAATTCTTAGAATGTTACAAAGATTCATTTCTGTTCATTTTGTTTCTAATCACAGTTTGTTAAGATTACAATTGATTGATTTTTG